TAGTGGACGACACTGGGAGTGCAAGGGTGCACATCTGTAGCCAGTGGCCTCAGGAAGCACTCCCACCCCTAAGCTCGCTGAGGAGATGTGGGTTGGTGCCAATTGCACCAGCTTTGTTCTTACTTTTATTAGATGCTTAAAGAACACAGGAGTGAACCGGGCTCCTTCTTCCTAATGACAACATCTGGCATTCATGTAGCCACGCACCTTTGATCCTTAAGGATCCCAAAGCGCTTTACAACTTGCTGTAGTGCTAATGGCCATAGCCACGAGCTTACAGTGAACGTGGTCAAATATTCCCCGTACTGGTTCCCTCCTCTCCGCTTTGCAGTGCACAGAGCAGTTCTCCCTTCTGGACGGAAGCATTCCCGTTTGGATCCCACACACTCCTTTTGTGTGTCATTTTTTCCAAAGTTTATTCAGTCCTGCCCGCCACCCTCCTGTTTTGTTAACTAAAGTACTTCATAGCCATTCTTAATAAACAGTACTTCATTTACATTTCCAATTATTTTATAGGCCCATTTCTGCCCCATCCCCATTCCTCCCATTTCAGAGAAAAATGGAAATGTTCTTCCCCCCTGGGAGCCAAGAATCTGCATTGCGGATGAGGTTGCAAATTCAGACACAATAAACAGAATTAAGAAAAACTGAGCTGGCATTTGACAGAAATTGTAAAATGACACTCAGAAATGTTGCTCTTGTGGAAATTACTGATATTAAAATATAAATCAGTGTCTTGTGTTTCCCGTAGCACCAGGGGCTCTATTAGGTTATGCAGTTTGATTGCTGAGCTGAACCTAAGAGACTTGGCAGTTCGGTGCTGAAGTTTTCCCAAAGTATTTAACCCGTCGCCTGCTGGAGTGCAGGCAATGAAGCGAGTGCCAGTTGATATCACCTGCAAAAGGCCTTGGCTCTTTCAATGAACCCTTTGAAACCTGGGAAAAGGTGGAGGGGGCTAACAGGGAAAAAAAGGAAAAGAATTTGAAAAATTCTTTCTCAAAACAAGAGTCCTACTGCATAGTTCCAGGAAGAAGGCAGCCAAGGGCAACTCAAGGAGCTGAGTGGACAAACTCAATAGATACCAGCATAACCAAGCGACAAAGGTTAATATCATCAATAATAAGACATTGTCGTTATGTAAGATGCCAACAATGGGGAAACTGGAGAAAGGGTACATAGAAGATCTCTGTACTATTTTTGAAACTTTTCTGAAATTTTTAAATTATTTCAGAATGACCTGTATGCTCCTCTTCTTTCACCAGAGTGGACTACTGCTTCCTTTGTGGAGAGACAAAGCAGATCACAAATAACCATAATAATGGCAGGTTGTACTGTGTTAAAAGAGATAGAGATAAAGCATAGTGGGAGTGGGAGAGCTTACCTAGTTGGCAAGGTCGGTAAATTATTTCTACCAGAATGCATGGATGGAGCCATAGTGTACAGAGGAGTAACCATTATTTTACAACAGTGCCTGACATATAGTAACTGCCATACAAGTTTTCTGGAAATTAATTATATCATTCCATAACTCTGGAAATTGAAACTGGAGAGAAACAGAAATAGCAATTGAGTTGAGTCTTGAAGATGTGTGATTTTTGAGCAGGCACAAAGAAGATATATCATTAAAAAAAGAAAACCGTGGAGCAGCCAGGTGGGAGAGTTTTCGCCATGTCGGTAGATCATAATGGCAACCAAGATTAGATCGAGTGTACTTCAAAAGAGGACATTTTACTAACTGGCACGGGAATGCTGGTGGTGGCAGGAGGAAGGCTGAGTATGTCGCTCTCCACTCCATATATCAAGTGGAGAAAGAGAAAGAGTGAAAGCAAAGAGCTGATGTAACCAGAGAAAACCAAGTCAAGGAAGGGAAGGAGCATTTGAGAGAAATGTCTCTGGGGTCAAAGAGTTGGTCCACAATGAAACAGGGGTTCCAAAAATGGATAGCAGAGGCAGCTGGAGGAGGTGCTAGAAATGGGGAGCAAGTTGGAGAGAGGCCTCTCTGAGAGGAACATAACTAAGGGTACTTTGTCCATTTGCGTTACATACAACTTCATGAAACAGAAAACAATCCAAACTAATTGTGACTTCAGCAGAAATGGCTCTCTCTGTCCAGGGCTGGCGTGGTGGTTTCCTACCAACAGGGACCCAGGCTACTCTGTCTCTGTGAGCATCTCCTTATGTTCCAAATGGTTACAGAAGCACCGGTCAGTCATTAAGTCAATCAGGAAGGAGGAAGAAAAAAAGAGTTGTGGACTACTTCTCTTCAAGATTGCCCGGAAGTCCCCACAATATTTCCTCTTATATGTCATTGACCAAAACCTACACATGGAACCACACCTAGCCACAGGAGGCTGGGATCAGTAGTCTTTTAGATGAGTATATGAGCACCTCAATAAAATTAGGTTTCTGTGACTAAGGAAGATAAAGAATATGGATATTGAAATAGGCGATTGACAGCCTCTGTGAAAAGTACCAAAGAAGACAGCCATGGAGACGATTTTCACACGCAGCAGTGAGTCTGGTAAATTCTGGAACTCTTTCTCTTGTTTCTCTTGGACCCTCATTCTTCAACCATTCTTCTGCAAAGACTCAACTAGCCTACTTCCTCTCCAGAAGAGCCTCAGCCCTGGGGCTGGACTATGACCCAGTCTGTGACCTTGGTGTCAGGTTTTTGTTCACCAAATTATGGTGCAGAATCCCCAGACCCTGGCAAAACCATCTCCAGCATCATCTCCTCCTACCCTCTTCTCCCAGAAGATATGCCCAATATGATCAGGGATTTTCTTTTGTAGAACTGGGTTTGGATTCAAAGAGATGAACTCTTCATGCCAGGCCTCTGTACACTATGGCTCCATCCATGCATTCTAGTAGAAATAATATATTGAGCAAGGAGCATCCCTGTTCATTCATGGTGCTCACATATTTTTGAAAATAGAGGAAACATTGAACATCCTCTCATCATTTCAATAATGAAGAGCCCTAGAATTCCTCACACTCTTTTCATTGGTAGCAGGTAGAACACTGGAGAAAAATCTAAAACCCAGTGAGAGTAAATGAAAGACTTACAATTGAGTATAGGTAAACTGTTAGTTTTGATTAACCCCCAAGGATAGCTTTGACTTTGAATTGAATAGCCTCTCTTTCCATGAAAACCTAGAAAACATGTTTTAGATAAGAAAAATAGATCCTTGGGGGCGGCTGGGTGACTCAGTTAGTTAGAGCATGTGCTCTGAACAACAAGGTTGCTGGTTCGATCCCCACATGGGCCAGTGAGCTGTGCCCTCTGCAACTAGATTGAAACAATGACTTCACTTGGAGCTGATGGGTTCCGGAAAAACACACTGTTCGCCAATTGAAAAAAAAGAAAGGAAAAGAAAAATAGGTCCTTGATATTCTTCCATCCAGGTCATGAAAAAAAAGGCATAAACAGTGTTGCTCTAAGGTCAGTAGTCCATCCATTTACCCAGGCAGTTACCAGTTTTCAGGGAGAGAGCCAGCATCAGCGATCTGTGATTATGGCTTTCATGTGTAACCTAACATGGGTTGATGGTGCATGAAGTACTAACGTGTTTCATTGAACTTTTTCACTTGTACTCTTTTTTATTCTTTCCCCAAAACTAAACAAAGACTCCCTGAGTTAAGAAAGAGGAAGCAGGGGCCGGCCGAGTGACATGCTGGTTAAGAGCTGGCTTGGGACACCAGAGGACCCTGGTTCGGATCCCACGTATGAGGGCCAGTGACACTGCCCTCTACAGCTAAGATGCTGAACAACAGCTCAACCTGGAGCTGAGCTGCCATGAGTCACAGGCAACGGCTGCAGCCCCTGCTACAGTGGGTTACCATGGGCTACCGTGTGTAGCCAGTGGCCAGCGTGAGCGGCCAGCAGCCACAGTGAGCGGCCATCCAGAAGCCGGCGACTGATCTGCCTCGCCCGGGAAGAGCGCAATGATGGTGCCAACTTGGGCCAGTGAAGCAATGTCCTCCACAACTAGACTGAAGAACAAAAGGACAGCAACTTGTCTGTTCCCTTTCCCCCAATTCCCCAATTAAAAAAATAATAATAAAAGAGGAAGCAGAGGGGAATTTGAACATAAGCAAGAGAATTAGACCCTGAGATCAAAGAGATGGGCAAAAGTGAGGAACACAATAGGACCCCAAATAGGTTTAGCAATATAGAGGCAAAAGAGACTTTTGATCAATACCAGGAAGGGGGAGCAGGAAGTGAGCAAAATCTTAGGAATTTATTCCCTTCTTCTTAACACATTTCTAGGCAAAAAAAAGAATGATGATCAGGAAGGTCTAAGAAAAGAGGGCCTGAGACAAATCTCACATGTGTGTCTCTCTCTTAATGCATTAGAAGCATCCTCAGAGGATGAAGGAGGACCAGCAGACGGAAGGCCCACAGTATGAGGAAGATGCAGCCTATTGCGCAGGACATACACACCTCAGCACACTTCAGCTGGGAGAGGTGCCCGTGGACCATGGTCCAGAAGCTATCCCTGAGGACCAGATACAACCGAGGACCCCAGAGCTTAGGCACACCCTAGAAAAACCCTTAAGAGGTGAAGGGAATCATGAACTGATTCATTTTTACCCTACAAATGATGGAGCAGTCTCAGAAATAACTAAGATTCTGTTTTCTACCATTTGGTGGAAATGGGGCTCAAGAAAGAGGTCAAGTAATAGAAAAATAGCTACTTTTCCTTGGCACACCTGAGTTCATACCCGCTGCACTAGTCACTATGTGAGATGCAGTGTCAGTGTGTCTTGGGAACCTGTAAGGTGCTCTGCGTGTGGACTGAGGCCAACTCGGGAGGCACAAAACATCACTAGGTACTCTGACAAAGTTTTTGTTTTCACTACAATTGTTTTGTCTGTGTGTTTTCTAGGCATAGCTGTCACCAAGGGAAGGCCTGCTGGACAAGCAGACAGCAGGATTTTCAAATACAAGAAAGCAGTTCCCTGGGAAGATGTAGTAGAATCAGAGATGCTGGTAGAAGAGATGAGGCATGAAAAAGTGAAGGTCTCAACAAAGATGCAGGAGACAGCAGCACAGAAGACACAGAATAAGGGTTTGAAAAGAGAGAAGACATTCAAGTCCTGGGCCCAGAGATCAATCTCCATGGATCAGGTAGGGAACCCCTCCCTCTGTGATGAGTTTCCTCCTCTACAAAATATTTGTCCAGCCACACTCCTCAGAGAGCATTGTGAAGGTTCACATGATCATTTTATAAAGCATTTGAGGCTCCCTCAAAGCACTCTTCCTTATCCATCTGGCAAACATTACTGTCAAAGGCTTCGAAAATTTATCATATAACCCTTCCATTTTTTCCATCATAAGCACTTCCAAATTTCCCACTGCTGTTGTTAATGACTCACAGGATTCCCATGTCTCTTTCATGAAACACAATTCAGCTCTCTCTTTTTCCTCTGACTTATTTTACTTAGAGAAGACCAATATATTTTCATGCAAATATGAGAGCCTGTACCTTCTACTTTTCTTTCCAAATGCCTTGGGCCCTTGTGCCTATAGCGATGTAACTCCATAGTAGATGAAACAGTCACAATCTGGACATTTTTCTGTCTTTAGGACAAGATTTCATTTGGTCTAAGAATCATCTCCTAACTATCCAATAAGTCTGCCTGTAGAAGAATATTATTCTCAAGGATATATTTGTTCCATTCCAACTTTTGTTTGATGCTTGAGCTGAGTTTGTGGTTCCTTTAAAGAATGATATCTGTCAAGGTAGAACATTGAATAAGAAAAACCTTTGAGCTAGGAAAGACTTAAAGGTCATTTAGTACAGTCCCCAATTTCCAGAGGCAGAGGTGAAGGCTCTAGAGCAGCGGTTCTCAACCTGGGGGTCGCAACCCCTTTGGGGGTCGAATGACCCTTTCACAGGGGTTGCCTAAGACCATCGGAAAACAAAAAGATATTTACATTACGATTCATAACAATAGCAAAATTCCAGTTCTAGAGTAGCAACGAAAATAATTTTATGGTTGGGGGTCACCACAACATGAGGAACTGTATTAAGGGGTCGTGGCATTAGGAAGGTTGAGAACCGCTGCTCTAGAGAGATCAGTGCCCTTCCAAAAGCTACTCTTTGAACTAGGAGCTGAACCGGGTTCAGAAGGTTGGCGGCATGGAGCCCTGTGTAGTGTGCTTTTATGCCACACTATTTTTAATCTTCTCATTTGCCTAGTGCTGTATATTAAATGTTTGTGCCCTGCCCTCCCCCCAGATTCATGTGTTGAAATCTTAACCCCCCAAGTGATGGTATTAGGAGGTGGGGCCTTTGGGAGGTGATTAGGTGATGCGGGTGGAGCCCTCAGGAGTGAGATGAGCGCCCTTACAGACGAGACCTCACAGAGCTCTCTTGCCCCTCCCACCATGTGAAGTTACAGCAAAAAAACGGCCATCTCAGAAGTGGGCCTTCACCAGACACCTAATCTGTCCATGACTTGATCTTGGACTTCGCAGCCTCCAGAACTATGAGAAAGAAATTTCTATTGTTTATAAGCTACCCAGTCTGCGATATTTTGTTATAGCAGCCTAGTCGGCTAAGACACCTAATGTGGAAGTCATTTGTGACATTCACCAATATCTCCTTTGAAAAATAAAGGAAGAAGTTAGGCATGGCCATGTGACTTGTTTTGGCCAATGAAATGTGAGCAGAAGTAAAGTATGTCTCTTCCACTTTAAGAACCTGTATATGATTCACCATGTCCCTTTTCTGCTGCCATCACAACAGGCAACATACTAGAAGATAAATGTGAGGACGATGAAGAGCAGAGCCCCAAGCTGACTCCTAAAGGACATGTAGCATGAGTGAAAAATAAGCCTTCATGGTTTTAAGCCACAGAGACTTGGGGGTTGTTTACTAGTGCAGCATCACTTAGCCTCTGCCTCTGGGTTAGCCTGAGCTACATCACCATTCCCATAATGCATCTCTGTGCATGAAGACTTAAGAGGATAAACAATGCAGCATATCAGAATACAACCCCATAGAACATTCCAAGTTCCATGTCTCACCAGCATTCTTTCTTTCTCTTGGCTTATATTAGGGGTGGGGGATGTGGTTCATTACAAAGAATGAGTATTTTGATAGCTTCTCATTCTTGGAACTATTCTGCAGGTAAGTGCCTGGTGGAAATTTCCTCTAGTCTTAGAGGTAAAAACATAATGAATTGGATTATTTTATTAAGATCAGTGCATTATGACCTCAAATGCATCAACCTATACTTACATACATACATGTGCAAAAATCTTTGGCCTTCTTTGAGGCTTTTTATCTGGATAATTCTCAGCACTTTATATGTTACTTAACTTTACAAGCACCAACATTATGGTAACTTGATGCTTAAAAAATCACATCATCAGATATTTCCACATTAATAGTTAATAGTGGAAGGTCCTATATGATCTCACTTATGCATGGATTCTAAAAAACTGAATAAATGAGAAATATAAACAGAAATAGTCTCAGAGACACAGAGGAAAAACTGAGGGTTGCTAGTTGGGAGGGGGTGGGGATGAAGGAGAAGGGGAAGGGATGAAACAATACAAATTGGTAACTACAATATGGCCTCAGGGATAGAAAAGACAGCCTGGGGAATATAATCAATAATGTTGTAAATATTTTTTAGGGGGCCAGTTGGACTCATGTCTTGTTAGGGAGACCACTTCATAGTCAGTGTAGTGGCCTGACCACCGCACTGTATATCTGAAGCTGATGTTGAATAATAATGTGTGTCGACTATGATTATATATACATATACTCACGGGACGTGGAATAGAGAGTGGGAATGGAGTCAATGGAATTGTAATAGATAAGCATGATATCAAGGGTGGGAGGGCAGGAGATGGGGGTGGGGGGTTGTTTCTGTGTGAAGGGTAAAAAGGATAACTTGCATTGTTCTGTACACCTGAAACTAACAATAAAAAAAATAAAAAATAGTGGAAGGTCCTTGTGGAGCAGTAAGAGAGCCTGTGTGACCTTAGGTAAGTCACTTAGCCTCTCTGGGCCTCAGTTTCCTCCTCTGTAAAATGGAAATAGTAATAGTGTCAACCTCCCAGCGTTATCATGAGAATGAAGTTGGGTTGTGCCCATCCTGTCTGGTTCTTAATTAATACATAATATTAACTATACTGGAGCCATAGGATACTTAGAAATCTAGAAAGTAAGACCATTTCAGACCTGTGGCTTTCTAAGAAGGATGAATTCAGAAACTATTTAGCAGTGTTTTTATTGGAAAAGATGTAAAACCACGGTTGCCTTCCTGGTGAAGGTTTTAACACGCTTGAAAACACAAACAGATGGGTAGGCAAGTAGGTAGGTATGGCTAACAGTTCAGGAATTTTTTTCTGAACTCCCTGCTGAGAACACACCTCCAGATGGGAAAATCTTTTAAGGGCTGGACTCATTTACACTTTTTCCATCTTAAATTTTTATACTTTTCCAGGTTTATAACAAAGTTCAGAAAATGCTAAAGCTTAAAGGAGAATTGAGAGGTGTCAAGGAAATGAAAGATGAGGTAAGGCTTCTAACTCCTCTACGTACATGGAGATGAAACTTTGTTTACAAGGGACTACTTTTCAAGTTTCATGATTCAGAATTCCAGCATTAAGCATCCCAAAATACCACAGACAGAGGTGGGCAGCAGGGCGCAGCGTTTAAGAGCCCAGTCTTGAGCTCAGTGTTTCTGAGTGCATGTCTAAGAGCAGTATGATATTATCTATGTCACATACTCTCTCTGAGCTTCCTTTGCTTCACCCAGAAAATCTGAATAATGAGCACCTATTTCAAAGGCTGGCTGTGAGGATTAAGTACAATGCTACCTGTAAAACACTAGTGCTTGGGACACTTGATAAATTTTAACTATTGTTGCCAACATTTTCTCTTTACCTGGAATGATATGGAAATGGAGTCTAATATTTTGATTAGTCTAATATTTTGGTCAAACTCTATTCATGTATTTCCCTGACTTGTTCCAGAAAGGATTTAAGGGAGCTGTTTAGGTTAATGTAGGATTGTGCCACGTGGCATATGCTTTTTAACAGACCTCCTACAAAGAGGTGAGCAGCTTCTAAAAGAGGTGTTACAGCTCCTTTCCTGCTGGATTACTGGAGGGAACCATATAGGATTCGCTGCAAGTTCTGCAGGGAACGAGGAGCTAGCATGGATTTTCTAGAACAGCATTCCTTCATTCAGCTGATATCGTGGGAGCACCTTCGATGTGCCAGGGTTTGTTCTAGGGGCTGGGGATAAAGCAGTGAGCAAAATACACAAAGATCCTTGTTCTCATGAAGCTCACATTCTAGTAAAATAATTTCTCCAAGGACATAATGGAGAAAAGTATGTAGCAACTGTCCAAGTGCCAATAAAAATTGGCCCATATTCCATACGTGGCTGACCTCTGCCATATGCCTTGTGTATTCTAAACCATATACTTTATGCAGTGTGCCAATTTTTAAAGAATTTAAAACACAATAAAATATACTCACTCTTCACTATATAAACATAATTGGCCCCAAAATTTTGTCTCACAGGCAAAACCTTATATAAGTGCCCATTAATTCCCATCACAAGTAATCAATGAAAAATGGCAATGTTCCTATAGATGGAAAAGTAAACTCAGGAATCAATTTAGCAATATCAATAACAGTGTTTGGAATTACTGTAGATAACTGTAAAGTCTATTATGGCATAAGTAAAATAAAAAATCCTGAAGCCATGTTAATTTTTAAGGTTTTATGCTTTTTAAAACATAACTCTCACTATAAATGTACATGTGCTGAATGGTAGTGGTGGTTAAAGTGGCTTTGCGTGGTTTGTTGAAGATTTGTCCTTATCATCAGACAAAGTAGATAATTTCCCAAAGATGATGACTTTTATGGTGTTGTTGGTTGACCCCAAAATTATTCTGGAAACTGCCACCCAAGCTTTCTTGTTCAAATGCCAAATGCCTGGGAATGCTGCCATCTTGAACCTTTGTAATGTTGTTGGACTTTGAGAGCGCTACTCGGCTATAAGCTTCAGTTTATCATCAGCATCCCCCCCAAGAGAGCATGAGACTATGTCAGTAATTTGAAGCCTAGAGCACAATTGCTTCCCATCTTTTGAAATAAATGTTCGAGAAGGCATGCTCTTTGAAAAAAGATCCATTTAATCAATACAGAAAATTTGCTTCAGTATATAACCTATTTTCCAATAACTACCATGAGTATGGTAGCAACTGCAGTATCAACACTCGCCATTTTGCCTGTGGTTAGTAGCTACTGATGATGTCACATGCCTTCAAGCAGAATGAACAGGTGACAACCTCATTATAAGCAAAACTGGGTATCTCAGTGCATGGTTTATGTAAGTGAAAACTCAGCTAGCATCAAAGGCTTGTGATTTCAGCCATCATTAATGACTTCAGATCTAGGACAGGATCAGATGGCACCTGAGGGTCAGCATGATGACTCTCAGTTCATCTCATGCCCTAGTACTGGTTGTAGAGCTTTGATTGATGAAACGTCAGATTAAATCAATGCCTACTACATACTGAAACTCAAAAGGCATCTGCCTGGACCTTAGCCTTCATAAAGTAGATAGGGTTGCAAATAGTGTACTGTGACCTTTGTACAAAATATTAGCAAGAAATTAGGTTTACTGGAACCTCAGAAACACTTGCCTTTCTGGAGATATGAGGTTAGCACAGTCTCTTCTTACAACTCCCTACAGTAAAAAATAATACGTGATTCAAGGAAATCATTTTATTGCTCTCCCAGCATTTCCACTCCTGTTCTCATGAATAAAAAACCCCTGTATGGTTTGACCTTAGGAGTGAATGGTTAGATTTTTATTTCAAAAGCAAATTTCATTTGCCATCCAGCAGAACACATTTGTTATTCAACTGGTTTAGGGAATCCTCAAAGAAAGATTATTTATTCCAAAACTCTTATTTTATGAACGAAGAAATTGCCTCAGAGACTCTGAGTCAATGCTAATGTCCAAATTCGATGAGATCATCTACATTAAAGATCTCATTCTGAAGTCCTAGGGGTGCAACCGAATGAAGCTTACAGACCTTTGGCTCGGAGGACATCCAAAGCTGGTGGGACAGGGGACTTTTTCATTGTCCTGAAAGACAGGGAATGTATCTTTTAACTGGGAGATTGGTACTTTGTTAATGAGTCCACAGTGTGCCAGGCTCCATGTGGAACAATCTGGTGACGAGGTCCTCACCTTAAGACGCATGTATTCACATCAAGGCAAGAGGATAGGGCACATGGCACTTCCATAGAGCAGGTATTGTATTGTCACCTCATCTTCTTATAGATGTCAAAGAAAGATCGTCCTGTTGCAAAAGGGGAGGGAATCCCTAGGGTCTCACTCCCCAGTGAGCCTCCATATCCTATTCCCAGTGTGGCAGCCATGACTAAAGGGACTTAAAGCACTGGCATCAAACTGCTGTTTCTTGTTGGGTCAAGGACTTTGTTTTCTAGTTAGGAAACAGTGTCTGTACACCACTTTTTAAAGCCACGCTACACATATTCTCTTAAGAGAGTCCCTGGTAATTGTCTTACTGGTAATTACATGCTTGGGGCAGTTTGACATCCACTGTTATTTTTTCTGAAAGTGGGGAGCAAGGGATAGGAGCAAGAGAGGAAGTGGGAGAGTTTTGAGATAATGAAATCCTTTTAATGACAGAGCCATGCCGTTAACCTAATTAAACTGTAAAGTGGTAAAAAAAAAAATCCAGGTACTAAATGGAAATGAAGAAATAAATCAGCTGAGACAGCAGCACTTCTGGGAAACCTTCTGAATTCCGAATACTCTGACATTGCAATGTCCGATTCCTGTGGTTATTCTCTGGCCCCCCTCGGTCTTGTGCAGAGGTCTCTTAAACTGACTTGTCCGGTAAGGCTTGATTTACAGTGTCCATATCAAGTCTCCAGCTCCCCTGGGAGTGTGCGCTATGTAGCTCATATATTTAAGAAGCCAGAGCAGTCATCGGGATATAGTGACAGAACACTGGCCACAGGGTCAGGAGAGCAGAACTCTCCTCATTCTGCTGCTAACTAGCTATGGTACCTTGTCACTTGGATCGCTTTCTCTTTCAGCGTACCCATGGACGGCTTCTGTGTGCCTTTGCACCTCCAGCTCTCTTAGAAGAGTTGCCATTGGGCTATTGGAGTCACTTTGCTCATAAGAGCAGAACTCTGGAAGTCCTTGGGAGCGTACATCCCATGGGGCTGCCCTTAGCCATTGACTGGCTGATGCTGAGTGTGACAACCCAGCTCTCAAGGCTTCTAATCAGGACAGACTGAGGTGTAACTTACACTCCAGAGTTCCCTGTGGGAGCTCTGGCTAAAGCTACTGCCCGAAGAACTCTGTTTGAAATCCTGCCCTTCGTTTCCTCCCCTTCACTGTCCTGTTTCCCCCACTTCCTTGCTGACTTCTCTGGGGAGTATTTCTTTAATAGATGCTATGAATACTTGCCTAAGAGCCTGCCCTGGGTAATCTAACACAAGACAGGCACCTGCCATAAAAGCACCAGCCTCAGTTCCAACAGCTAAAACTTGGAGGTGGTAGTGCTTGTCCTCATATGTGTTATGGAAAGTCTGCACAGTGATAGGACTAAAGCACTAGACAGGTTCACAAAGGGCTGCTTCCTAAATTCTTTTCACCCACAACACTGGGAGTGGAAGGTGGTACCCTAATATCATGGAGCACCTCCCTCTTACCACAGCTCCACACCCCCAACCCCACCCAAGTTGCCCCACACTCTCTATTTTGATCTCGATTACGAATCTCCACTCTGACCTAGCAGTAATTAATCTTTTTCACTTGTAATCAAAGGCAGGGATCTTGTATAATAGCCCAGGGATTTCCCTTTTATTCCCGTTGGTGTACATGTCCAAAGAAAAACTACTAAGTTTCCAGGTGAGGGAGGACTTTTGGTTTAGTGGGTAGAAGACAAAGTTAAGCAACTTCAAAATCCGCATCAACTCCATCACTGATTCACTATGGTCTTGACAAGTTCATTTGACATCTCAATATGTTCATTTCATCAGTAGCAGAGCCATTAATATTTATAGAGAGTCCACTAGGTTCCTGGAATTATTCTAGGCATTGACTTCCTCTTGTGAAAAACAGGGGAAGCATCTGTGAGGCACCCACAGCAGTGGGTGAAGATTAATTAAATCAGTAATTGTCTGAATAATGTGGAGCACTCAGACACCTCGCAAATGGAGACGGTGTAAATGTTATACGGGATAAGTAATAACAGCTAAGGGTTGATGGACAGATTTCCAGCAAATTTAAAGTCCCTGGCAGCCAGTTAAGTGAACGAAAATAAGCATTTTCTTGATGATGTATAATCAATACTTTTATTTTTCTGACTTCCTAGGTGGGGGAAAGAGACAGAGAAGTGAGCAGCCTGAACAGCAAGCTCTTGAGCCTGCAAGTTGACATCAAGAATCTCCATGATGTCTGCAAGAGACAGGGAAAGACCTTGCAGGACCAGCTCTGCGTGGAGGAGGCGGTGATGAACAGCAACCACGTAAGGGCTTCAGCAGCTGCTGTCCACCTCAGCTCCCCTGGGCAGGAACAGTGATAGGAAGTTCTTCCCCAAGAGCATTTTTTGAGCGAGCAGTGAGAGAGAATGAAACACATAAACACATCCCCCCTATTACACACACACACACACACACACACACACACACAGCCTGCCAGAGCATTTTTTGAGCGAGCAGTGAGAGAGAATGAAACACATAAACACATCCCCCCTATTACACACACACACACACACACACACACACACACACANACACACACACACACACACACACACACACACACACACACACAGCCTGCCCATAGGATTTTTCAGTCTTACTGTCTCCAAGATCATCTACACCTGAGATTGTAGTTATATAAGGAGAGTGGCATCTTCTGATGGACTGTAGACAAACTTCTAAGTCAACCCAAAATAACAAGTATCCCACCTGCTGGGAGGTGTCACTGCTCATCGGTGCAGCAGGGGCCCTTTACTGCCACTCCTGCAGCTCTCTGCCTACAGCTGCTCTTCTGGATGCAGGAACCCAATCATAGGACGAGCTGAAGTGTGGAAGAGTTAATGCCCCTAGAAGCAGCCCTCAACCAATGACTGATGGGGAGATGGTGGATTAAATAACCTATCTCCCTTGCCCCTCCATCAGCGCTAGCTCCAGGCATGCTCTTTGCTCTGTCCCGGAGTTCCTCAATGGGACCCAGCGCCAGATGACAACACTGGTAACTAGCTTGATAACACACCCTTTCACAGCCCCCTTCCCTTCCTTGTCTTATTCCCCCCACTGCCCTACCTGCGTTTCCTAAGATCACCTCCCACATAAACTACTACTAGACACCCAGTTCCTTATCACAGGGCTTGCTTCCAGTGGTGCCCAAGCCAAGAAAGACACTCAGTAACACTTGTCCTCTGCGCGTGTGTGAACCAAAAGACCTCCTGGCATGATCACCTCTCTTGAAATTGTGACTTGGAAGTAATAAGTACCTATAGCCTAAACAGTTCATCTGAGGCAACTTCATTTCAGCCTGAGATTTTCTCTCTTTGGAGATTCCAGCACTCCTTAACACTAGTCTCTAAATTTACCCACACAAGCTGGGGGGCCAGCTAGAAGAGATTTTCCCATAGCTCTCTAAAACCTTTGTGACTCCAAGAATTCCTTACCATGCCGTCTTCCTTACCATTTAGGGATTTGAGTGCTTGGCAATGATAAAGCAGGTCCTGGTTGCACAGACCTGTTCCTGGGCCCCCAATTTTCACCTCTTAGCTGCTGTGTAAGCAACCACCATCTTCAACATTTGTGGTCAAGGGTCTGGTCTCTCTTAATTGTGTCTGTTAGTGCTCTCCCAGGATTTACCACCTCCCTACAGAGACCAAAATTTTTTCCTCTGCAATGCCCTAAAAAGGCCAACTACAAAGCCATTCTCTTTTATCTCACTGAGCATGGCTGTCCTTTCCCCAGGAAGTCACAAATATAGAAAAATTTACTGGTTTTCCTAAATGGATCCCAGGAAGAATATTATCATAATTTACTTCTTTCTAAATATTAACATTTTAGAATATTTTCACCATTGCTGTCACAAGTTTATTTATTCCCCTAGTCAGGGAAAGCCATGTGGCTTATAAATGTACCCGGCAACTTGGAAGGAGAAAGGTATTAAGTCACATTTTATTATACTAATTGCCCAGAAGAAGGTCTAACAGCTTGAAACAAGCTTTAGAACAGGCTCTTTTTTTTTCTCCTAGCACTTAGTGCAGAATTTAAATTGCAGACTACGCATACAAATACACAATTAGATGTAGACTTATACTCATCCACTCAGAAATTCCCTGCAAGATCTGCCTTCCACAAGGAAATATAATAGGGGAACAAAGGAGAAACCCAAGGCTTTCTGAAATGTTGCCCGTTAGCCTGCAAAGAGCTTGGGAAATAAGCAGGAGGTCATAATACAGGACCACGTTATGCGAGAAAATTAAAATATTCCGTCAGATGTTATGTGTAATTAAAGGAGTGGCAGGCAGGGAATGGGTGACAAGGAAAGAAAATGACATGATCTGGTAAATCAAGAATACGTTTTGCTCCAAAACTCAGGAACAGAGCTGGGACTAGGGTAAAACAAGTGAGGTGCCTAGGGTGCAAGATTTAAGGGGCACTCACTCTTCAGGGTCCAACCCCGCACTTGCTCAATCCTGAGACCGAGAGCCTTCTTAAATTTGCACTCAGTTGCTTCACTCTAGTCCCTTCTCTGCCTAGGAATCAAAAGAGTGCCTCAAAGTGAAAGGAGAAAAGGAAAAAGGAGATATCATCATGATCAAACCAGGAAAGGAAGGGTCTTTTTGAGCAATTTCCCAGGCTTCTTTGGCCCTGTTAGTGGCATGGGGAGAATGCCCTGATATTCTGTAGGGCTCAGATTGTCAAACTCATCTTTGAAGTGCATGAAGGACATTATTTTTAGCATAAAACTCTGTAAGAGATTTGATTTCTATAGATAAAAGTAATTAGTTGAATATATAAAGATTCATAGACTCTCTATGGAAATTATAGCACAGAGATCACTTTGAATCATTAGGAATGAAAAAATATTAAGTGCAACAAGGGATCTGGGATTAGACCCTGGAACAAAAAACAAAAAAAGTAAAAAAAACTGGTAAAATCCAAATAAAGTATAAGTTTAGATAATAGTCATCTACCAATGTTAATTTCTTAGTATGGACAAATGTATTGTGGTTATGTAAAATGTTAACATTAGAACTGCCTGTACTACTTTTGCAATTTTCTAGAAATCTAAAATTATTTCAAAATAATTCATTTGTTTAAAAAAGTCAATCTCTAGTAAATGGAAATCACTGGTGAGAAGGCTTAAACCACAAAGATGCACCCAAAAGAAATGCACATCACTTAAACACAGAGTTCTACATTCAAGAAAATACAAGAAATGCAATTTGTAGAAGATATAAAATGTAACAGATAAACCTACCTAGTGATCGAAGGCCAAACCAGAGTTACAAGAAAAATATCTCAACACCTAAAAAAAAAAAAAAAAAGAAAGAAGTTCATGACAAAGATGAGACTTTCAGTTCTTAAGTGAATAAAAAAATCAACAGCAATCTGGTTATCCGAGCAATGCCTACCAGAGACAGAAGAGAGTGCAAACTAGAATGAGGAATAAAAGGGTTAAAAAGTATTTTGAAAAGCCAGCTTTAAGCAAATCAGCAGGGCCTGATGACATACTTCGAAGAGTACTTAAGGAATTGGCAGGTGTTATTACATAGCTGCTAGCGATTATTTTTGAAAACTCAAGGGGATAAAGAAAGTCCCTGTAGACTGAAAAAGGGTAAATGAAGTGCTCATCTTTTTAAAAAGGGAAAAAGGACAATCCTGGTAATTATAGACCTGTCAGTTTAACTTCAATATCAGGGAAAATATAGAACTTAACATCAATCAATTAGCATCAACTTGAAAAGCACAAAGTATTGAGTGGAAATGAATGTGACTTTTCAAAAGGCAAATTATGCCAGGCCAATTAATTTCCTTCTGTGATCAAGTGGCCACATAGGCAAGGAGAGAGCAATAGCTATAATCTCTTTGACCATAATTAGGGCTAAAAGGTTAACTAAATATGGAAAAAGATTCCTACAGATGACCAGTGCTCTCCATATTCTAAGGCAGTTGAAGCCTGGTTAAAAATCTGAGAAACATGGTAGACCAATGGCCTCCAGAATCATCTCTAACTCCGGATAATCATCCTAAGAACTAATGTTACTTCCATAAAATTATTTCCAACTTGCTCATTCTCTCCAGATCTCATTTTAAAGGTCAAAAGAGAATCTAATATCTATTTCTTCACTAGAAAGAAAACTTTTTTTAAAAGAAGACAATGAAGTAATAGGAAATGCATTAATGCATTTATGATACTGCTCTTTGGCACATATAAGTGAAATGCAGGCTTAATCCATAGCATGTCATTTTCTATTCATTTAGAATTAAGAAAAATAATCTTTTGAATACCTGAGGATAAATAAGTCAAAATTTAATAGGTCTCAAATAAGTCTAGGCATTTCTCCAACTCTTTGAAATTTGATTCCTCTAAACCCATAGGTATCTATAGTGCGCAAATTCTCATCTAAGGAAATTCTAGTTTCTCTGCATATATGAGCAATTTTTAGATCTTCATAACCAGATAAATTAGGACAGGTGCTGTGTTTGCCCTGTACTGGAAGATCTGGGTGAACTCTCATCATCTGGTTGGTCTATCATGTTACCTCAAACCATAATTCAACCCAGAAGATTCAACATGACCTCTGGGGAAGATAAATTATTAACAGTTCACCCAGTCTCACTGCCAGGCTGCTAACCTTTATGCACACAGGAAAAAACATTCTTTACCCACAGGAGGTTTTAAAGCCACAGAGCAATTATGAACACACCTAAGTACAGATGATGCACCACGCACGAGAAGGGGAAACGCTAAAGAAAGAGTTTGACTTCTTTTCAAAGAAGAGCACTTCTCTCATTCTTTTGGGTAATGAAGAAAAATGGGGGCATGGGAATAAGGGCAAGCAAGGGAAGAACACAACAGAGGGGACTGGCTAGTTTTCAGCTGGTCATCCGTATGCAGCAATGGAGAAGCAGGTCCGAATCAGCGGCTACATCCGAGCACTAGAAGGACCAAGAATCTAGTGTCCTAATCCTCAGAGATCAGGTTACCGTCAACAAAGCCAAGAGAAACTGGATTTTGGCGAATTTTGATAAGGATTTTATTGGGCATTTGCTCCACTAAAATAAGCCCTTCTGACTTAAGTGTGCCCTAGAATGTTCACTCCTTTGCTTTCGTTTTATCCACATTAAGTACTTATTCGTGACCATGTCTTTCTTCCAAGTAGCTCCCCAACTCCAGCTTACCTGTATAGATAGAGGATTTGAGCTCTTGGGAACCTATCCCTAAAAATGTGCGTAAACACACACACACACACACACACACACACACACACACACNCACACACACACACACACACACACACACACACACACACACTACTCCCAAGTCCCTTCTTTCTGAGCCTCATTAACGGACAAGGTGTGAGAATAACAACATCCTTATCTTGAAAAGAATGAAAGCACTTAACTAAAAACATTTCACATAAATGCTGGAAATTATAGCTACACAAAGCAAATACAAAATTCAACTTTGTTTGGCTCACGACAGAAATCTCATCACTTTCCCCCAGCCACATACACTGGATATTTAGGCCAAGAATTCAGCTTTTCTTTGCCTCAGATGTCTTTTGCCTGGTGACCATTGTGGTCCATTTTCTCTGTCTTCTCTAGTCTGAGGCATTGAGGGTGAAATGAACTTCCTGGAGAGCCGGAAACAGTAAATCAGATTGAACTAACACAATCAGCTGTTGACTTTCTGGTTCTGAGCTGGACTGAGCCTCCCTTATCTGTGCTGCCCCCCACCTACTGTTTAGATTTTCTCTCTTTTGGGTCCCAGCTCTTAATTAATCTTATTAAAACTCCATCTCTCTAGTTACTCAGACCAAAACCTTTGAGTCATCCAACCTTGGATGACCTTCATCTCCCACCATCCCACAGCAGCAAATCCTGTGGGCTCTACTTTCAAAACATACCTAGACTCAAACCACTTCTCCCACCTTGTGCTGCTGCCACCTTGGTCCACGCCATCATCCTGTCTCCTGCATTTTTGCAGCAGCCTCCTCACTGGTGTCCCTGCGTCTGCTTCCCTGTAGTTGATTTTCAATAGAACAGCCAGCATGTCCTTTGTAACATCTAAAGGAAATCATATCACCCTTCTGCTCAGTACCTTCCAATGGCCTTTCATCTTCCTGAAAGGAGACGTTACAGTCTCTAGAATGGCATATATGGCCCTAACGGACCTCACCTCCCTTTCCTTTCTCACCTGGTACCACTGTCCCCCTTATTCTCTCTCTGCTCCAGCCAAAACAAAGTGGCTCCTCAAACACCACCGGGATCCTCCATCTCCAGGCCTTAGCACGTGCTGTTATCTCTCCCTGGAGTGTTCCTGCTGTAGCTTCCCACCAGGCTCCTTCCCTGCCTCCTTCAGGTCCTCGCTCAAACATCACCTTCTCAATGTGGTCCTCCATGGAAACACTGAATTCAAAATTGCAGCTACCTCCATCCTGGCATTCTCATCTTCCTCCCCTGCTTTACTCCCCTCCATAGCACATTTGCTTTTAATGCATTATATAATTTACTTGTTTAATTTGCCACCCCCTTTTCTACCCCACTCCCCCCATTAGATTCAAACTCCGTGGATGTAGAGATTCTGTTTTATAAACCTCTGTATCCCCATTACCTAGCTAGTACAGTGCTCAATACATACATAGTAGGTGTACCATAACATTTGCTGAACAAATTAAATGAAAATATCATATCTACACAACAGCTACTATGTTAATATTCATGGCATCTTCATTTATAATAGCCCAAAACCACAACAATCCAAATATTTATCAACAGATGAACTGGTGAACAGATGAACAAAATATGGTATATTCATACTATTCAGCAACAAAAAAAAGCAGAATACTGATTCTTGCTAGAGCCTGGATGAACCTCAAAAACATTATGCTGAGTGAAAGAAGCTAGACACAAAAGATGACATTTTATACAATTCTATTTATATGAAGTGTCTGGAAAGGGCAAATCCATAGAGGCAGAAAGCAGATTAGTAGTTGCCTGGAGCTGGGGGTGAGAACGGAAGTGACAAATGGGCATGAGGGAAATTTTTTTTAATTATTTTTTTATTGTGAAATACACATTTTTTAGAATTAGTTTCAGCTGTACAACACAGTGCAATAGTTATACTTTTTACCCCTCGAAGTGACAACCCCTCTCACCCAATCCGCCGCCCCACTTCCCCCCGCAATATCATACATATCTATTACAGTTCCCGTGACTCTACTCCCACACTATACTCCACATCCCGTGAATATATATGTATATATTCACTTATAGTTGACATACAATATTATACAACATCAGCTTCAGGTGTACAGTGCAGGGATCAAGCCTCTACCCCATCCATGATGCGGTCTCCCTAGCAAGATATGTGACCATCTGACACCCTACAAAATATTTACAACATTATTGATTATATTCCTCGAACTGTCTTTCATGTCCCTGTGGCAATATTGTAGTTACGTATTTATGCTGTCTAATCCCTTCCCCTTCTCCCTCATCCTCACCCCTTCCCAACTAGCAACCATCAGTTGTTCCTCTACATCTCTGAGACCATTTCTGTTTACTTTGCTCTTTCATTCAGTTTTTTAGATTCCACATATAAGTGAAATCATATGGTATTTGTCTTTCTCCGACTGACTTATTTCACTTAACATAATGTTCTCTAGGTCCATCCATATCATCGCAAATGGTACGATTTCATTCTTCTTTATAGCGGAGTAATACTCCATTGAGTAAATATACCACAGTTTCTTAATCCAGTCATCTACCGATGGGCATTTCGGTTGTTTCCAAGTCTTGGCTATTGTGAATAGCGCTGCAATAAACATAGGGGTGCATATATTTTTTCAAATTAGCATCTTGGGTTTCTCTGGATAGATACCCAAGAGTGGAATTGCTGGGTGATACAGTAGTTCCATTTTCAGTTTTTTGAGATACCTCCATACTGATTTCATGAGGGAATTTTTTGAGGTGATTGAAATGTTCTAAAACTGGATTGTGAAAATCATCACACAACTCTGTACACTTGCTACAAATCATTAAATTGTACACTTGCAATGGTTGAATTTTATAATATATAAAGTATACCTCAATAAACTGTAAAAAAAGAAGACAGTTAATTTTTTAAAAACCTGAAAGTACTCTGTTAATGAGACCAAGGCCACAAGCTCAGATTCTTGGGAACCAATGAGATTGCTTATGCTCTATTTGATTTCCTTCTCTCTTTCAATACCTAGCTGTGTATGAATCTCTAATCTAGGCCCTATAGGAGCACACATGGCCCCTGCCCTCCAGGGGTTTATAATCTACTTACAAGATACAATGCATAGAGATCATTACAACGCAAGGCAGAATGTGAAATGCCATATTACTGGACATACCAATAAAGTCTATTGTATTGCTGCAAAGACATCTTTGCAGGGAAAATGGGAAGAAGAGGATTTGGACAGGGTTTTAAAGAATACAGAGGAGGATAATAAGCAGAGATGGGATTTAAGGGATAGCCACAGGCCCTCTCTCTTCGTCCACCTCTGTTTCACATGTCATCAGGGATGTTGGGCAAGAAAATGTGCAAAGGCCTCAGCTGTACTTGATAAACAACTCAGGGATGTGTCCTTCAAGCAGAATATTTGATACAAAGTAGGTGCTTAACATATGTTTTTTAATTAATTAATTAATGAAAATGTAGGATGGCTTTAGCAGCACTTGAGATGGATTGTGGATTGGTAGGGAGAGATTTTCTCTCTCTCTCTCTCTCACACACACACACACACACACACACACACACACACTCAGCATCTACAATGTCATATCTTCCTTCAGGATGAGGAGACAAAGTCAGTGCCCAGATGTGCCTGAACAATATCTCAGCTGCCCATTTCCCACCATTTCAGAAAGCTGTTTCCCTAAGAGTTTACCCTTTTATATGGGCATTTTTTAATAATCAAGTTTAGTCCAAAAACTGTGACCAGAAATCCATTGCCTTCCAGGTCAATTGTGTTATCTTTATATGTGAAGACAAAACATAAGCATATTATCATGTGTATCTTTATACTACCCTCTGGGTCCTTTATGTGTATGTTTGGACTTCTCACCTAAATAAGAGGAATGGTAGATCTAAATAGTAGGAAAGAACTATGGGTTTTTTTGTTCTTTTAAATCCTTCTTACAGAGTGGAAATACAAAGTGATGTTTCATTGTGAATAGAGTGAAATGTTTAATAAGTGCTCTGTAGATGAAAAGATAAAAGGATGGATAGATGGATGTGAACGGTTGAACAAATGAAAAAAGTCAAAGAATGAAAGCATTCTTAGTGACAATCTAAAGCCTTTTCTGTGTATTTGATCTCAGTTGCAGAATAAGAAACAAGCATTAGCATTCGAGGAATTACAGATGGAGTTTGAGCCCAGTAAACAGTGTCATCTGAGACAACTCCAACAACTCAAGAAAAAATTGCTGGCCCTTCAGCAAGAACTGGAGTTTCGCACAGAAGAGTTGCAGACTTCCTACTGTTCCCTCCTGCAGTATCAGTCCGTCCTAGAGAAGCAGACTTCTGACCTGGTTCTTCTTCACCATCACTGCAAACTAAAAGAGGATGAGGTATAGCTAGAATTACTATGGAAAGGTCCCATATGCCCATGTACCTACTGAAATCAGGCCAAGCCTACTAGAAAACAAACAAGGGACTTACAAAGAGAGCTTCGCAACATCTTGAGCAGGTTTTATCAACTTTCCCTCTTTCATTCTTGATCTTTTTGAAGCTGAGCAGAGGGAACTAAACAGAGTGACATAATTGGGTGAGAGCTCCAGTATTAATGTATGTGGGGTATGTGGCATGTGTGTGTGTGCGTGCACGCACTTGTGTGCGTATAATGTGCATGAAAGTCCATCATTTCCATTCTATTACCATTGCAATTTAAATGCAAAAGACTTTAGGTCTCTGAGGGTTCTATAAAGGCATAAGGTCCATTAAATGAATCATTTTCAGAAAAACCAGGTTTTGATAATATATAAATTCAGCCTGAATCAATCATTAAGAGTACCGGATTGGTTTTTTTTCAGACTGGAATTTTAGATCATTCAGACTTAGCTTAAGAATATTGTGGACATTCATTTCTATTCATGTCCCAGGGTAGTATTTTTTAAACCAGAGAGCAGCATCCTTGTGAAATCCCAAGTAAATTCCAAAGACTAAAGCTATAGAAGTGAAACCATTTGAGCAGTGGTAGCACTAGCAGCGGTAAAACCATGGTTCTAAGTAATGGGACAGGCAGCCTCGAAGGCATTGCTTCCTTTGCCTTTTAAGATAAAATTCCAAGGACTGTCTTGGATGGTGCCGTTGCTTAAGGACATGGAATTTTTTAAGAGGGAGTATTATAGCCAATGAGTATTGGCTAAAAGAATTGAGTGGGAAAGGAACAGAGAAAAGAATGGTGAGTGCCAAGGGGATATAAGCAGGCCACTGACAGCTTCTGTTATAAACATTTGAATATAAAACATTCCTTTCCTCTTCTCTGTACCTAATAAACACCCCAAACTAGATGCTCCTTTCATAAGAAAAATCTCAAATGGCAGACAGCAAATGTAATTAGCTTACACCAATGGAACATGTTCTATCCAAATTCTGCGCTGAACTGTGTAAACCAAAATCAGCCTTCCTTGGTATCTCCCCTGCTCTTACTCCTTCAATACATATAATTCAAGCTGTACAATCCAGCGCTCTCCACTATGTACCATTGTTTGCTCCTTTTAAATCATATCTCCCCCTAATTGTAACAGTTTGTAAACTCTGAGTGAGGAGCCAATGACTTATAGGTATACATCACCTCGGCACCCAGGATTGCTCATGAGCATTCAAAAAATATGTCAGACGGCAAGCTAATTAATTGATTAGGAAGAAAAGGAATCTAAATAAGGATCGTACAAGTCCCAGAGGAACTTCGGGTCATGTTCCTCTACTCTCACTAGGGAACTTTGCTGACACGAACCTGGGTGCACCAGATGCTCCACACTTTCTAAATTAGACCTCTAGGGACTACCTAGGAAAGGAAGAATACTGGTATTTCAAGCCCTTTAAAAAAAAATGGAGCTATACAAATTTATTCCTATTAATCAACTAACAAGTCTTTATTGAGTTCTTACTACATGCCAGACAGAATGGGACATAGATAATGGCCCCTGCCTTTAAGAAGATTACTATCTAAATAGGATGGTCTCTTTTATTTCTAATCATTAACTTTCTGATAGTATATATTGTACCTTTTAGGTCTGTGCTGGGCCTGTTCTGTGTATCTGTGTTCCTTGAAATGAGTTAAGATATGAGACTCCTGTGCGTGGGCTCTTACGGCCATATCCTTTCCTCATTAGAGGTTTCTGCGGGTTCAGTGTGGTTTCATTCCTACACCAACAGGTGATTCTCTATGAGGAGGAAATTGGAAATCATAATGGGAACACAGGGGAGAAGCTCCATTTGGCACAGGAGCAACTCGCCTTGGCCGGGGACAAGATCGCTTCCCTAGAACGGAGCTTAAACCTCTACAGGGATAAATACCAGACCTCCCTAAGCAACATTGAGTTACTGGAGTGCCAAGTGAAGATGTTGGAAGGGGAGCTCAGCGGGATCATTGGTCAGGTAAGATTTCATCTAAACCACTCAACCCAGGAGCTATTATATAACAGTCCCAGCCTCCTCCACAGGAAGGAAACCCAGACTTTCAACTAGATGTGGTTCCATCCCCTGAAGTTTGTAGCCCTCAGCTTTGAATGTCCAGCCTTCACATATTTAAGATTGTTCCTGAGGAATTTTGAGGCTCTTCATTAATATAGAAAGCCACCACTTCACATAAGGCAAAAAGTGAATTACCAAATGAATTCTGCAATTTTCCATGTTCTCATGGGGAGCTTGTGAGGGACTGTTGTAGTTTACAGGACTCATGCAAAGCATGGCTTCAGGATCAGGAGGAGAAAGCCATGAAACAGAGAAAAGACGAGCCAAAATGCCTGAATTCATTGTCTCTTTTCTTTTCATTGCTTTTTAAAATTGCACAAGTAATACGATATAGGCTCTCTAGATATGGCGATTAAATGTGAAAGTCCACCTTCAGCCTCCCCTGCTCCACTCTCCCCCTAGGCAATCACTCAAATAATGTGTTGGGAATCTTCTCCAGCCTTGTTCTGCACAGTTACATATATACATAGTTAGGATTTTCTCTTTACATAAATGGGTCATTTTATAAATGTGATTCTACAACTTGCTTTTTAAACGTATCCTAACTTCCTTTAGTTACTACCATGTATTCTATAGCATGACTACACCATCTACTGACCTTTGTCTATTACAAACAAGCTGTAAGGAACATCCTCATTTTTATGGGGTAATTTCCTACTGTGGGCCTCCTAGACCAAAGGATATGCTTATTTTGAATGTTCAAAGATACTTCTCAATTTCATATACCAAAAAAGTTTCTATCCATTTACATTTTTATCAATAATAATCAAGCGAGTTTATCTCCCCACACTCTATATATTTTCAATCTTTTTAAGGCATACTAAACTGATGGATGAAGACAAAACAGGTTTTCTCATTACAATTTTTGTTTCCTTGAATTCTAATAGTTGTGGATTGGCTTCTCCAGTAAGGAGGCTTTGAGACAGATTAGCATGCAGGACGTTTTTAGAGAGAGCTCTTGGGACTGACACCTGTGAAAGGAAGGGGATGGAAGCAGCGTTGGCCAGAGGCAAAAGCTGAGCTGTGATGCAGTCCCCACAAAGGCCTCGGCCAACTCCATGGGAAGCTCCGGGGCCGGAGGGCCCTTCGCAGTGTTCCTAAGCTGGGGAGAAGGGAGCAGGCCTTTATACTTCCATTTTGATCAGTTATGGCTGTGAGTTATATGACCTTGAGCAAAAGTTTTCTGCTGTCCAGGCAATCCCCAAAAAGATCTGACATCCGAGGGGCTGTCTTAGGGCAGCACTCTAGGAGCTGAAGGGTGACTCCTTTATTGCTGAGGGATTTGGGAGACTCATCACTGTGCCCACCACACTAATAAAGTATTGAGCACTGTTTGTAAGCATATCATGTGAATGTCTGCTTTATGCATTACATGTTTAAATCCTTAACCTATTAGGTTGTTAGTCTCTTTTGTATTGATTGATAGGAGCGTCTTAATACTGGGGGTGTCAAAAAATGTATACACATGACTTGTGTTCATCTTTTGTTACCAGTATATATTATTACAATTTTAATACAGTTTTTTCCTTTCTTAAAATGTGTATACATTTTTTGGCACCCTCTGTATATTACAGGTAATAATGCTTCATTGCATATGGTATAAATATTTTCCCCCAGTTTGTAGCTTTTTAGTTTATGAATGGTATTTTTCACCATACAGACTTCCTTAATTTTTATGGAGTTGAATCGCTCCATCCTTCTTTGTAAGTTCTAGGTTTTTATGTCTCCCTTTAGGGAGGCCTTCTCTATCTCCAAGATTATAAAAATTTGTAACTTTTTTTAACACTTTTCTAATTTTGTTTCTTTAGTTTTATTGTCAGTCTATCTAGAAATTTTATTTATTGACTTGTCTATATTTCGTGTATACATAAGGAGATAAGGCTACAACTTCATATTTATCAAAATGATTCTCCAGTTGTCCCAACTCTATTTACTGAACATCCCTTTGACTACTGATTTGAAATGCCAGAAGAGTAAATATACCAATTCTTCTGTACCCATGTGGCCCTTTCTGAAATATATATATATATATATATATATATATATATATATATATATATATATATATATATATATAATGTTTGTTGTTGTTGTTTTTTAATCTATTTGCCAGTTCCTGAACCAGGGTCAAGGTTATTTAGTAATGTAACCTGATAGTATGTTTTGATATGTTTTGATAGCTTCTTTTAGGGCAAGTCCTCCTTCACTGCTCTTTCCTTTCAGATATTTCTTGGCTATTTCTGTATATCTTTTCTCAGTAAAATTTAGATTTATGAAGGCTTACTTTCATATTATATATTTTGGGGAAATCAGCATACCCTATGGAACATGACATGCTTCTGCTTTTTTTCAAGTTTTTTTTGTATGTCCTTCAGGAACATTTTACACTTTGTATGTCTCAAATATTTCTTGCTAAGTTTATTTCTAGATATATTAAAGTTTTATTAGTTTTACAAATAAGGTCCTCACTTAATTTTATTAATTATTACTGATGTAAAGGGAAACTCTTATCCTGGCCACCTTATTGAACTCTCTTACCTGATTTTTTAAGATGACTGTCATTTATTTTTCTAAATTGAGTTCCTTTTCAACATTTGTATAACTTATTTTCCATTTTACCACACTGACCAGAACCCCCAGAAGAGTGTAGAATTATAGCGTTTTTGCCTTGCTCCTTACTTTAAATGAAATGTTTCTAGTGTTTCACCATTAAATATAACACCTGTTCATGGCTGCTTGTTAATAGCCCTTTTTCAAGTTGAAGGTGTGACTATCTATACAAGAATTTTTATCAGGAATGAATGTTGAATTTAATCAGAAGATTTTGTTAGCATCTATCAAGGTAATCATAGAGTTTTTTCCTTTAATGAAGTGGGTTAAACTAGATTTTCATTTGTAGAACAATCCCTATATTCCTAGAATAAACCCTACTTGATCATGATATATTATTATTTTAATAATAATATAATATACCAGTATGTAGTAATGAACTGCTATATTAAATTTGTTAAATTTTTTGTTTGCATCTGTTTTCAGAAATAAGATTAGTTTGGTGGATTCAATTTTTGTGCTGTCAACTCATATTGGCGCCTGGATTATGCTTCCCTAATATAAATGAGTTGGAAAGCTTTTCTTTTCTTTTTTAATCTCTGGATCTGTTATATAACATATAAAATGTGTATTGCTTCCAGATTACTACTACAATCGACTTCTACTCATTACTCAGCAGTATACCCCGCCTCTTGTACTTGTCCTTTTGCTGTAATAATTCCCTGTTAATTCTTCTACAAACCATTGTAGGTGGTAAAATTACTCAGTATTTCCATGTCTGAACAAGATTTATTTTGCTACCATTCTTGAATGCTAGTTTGGCTCAGTATACAAACTTTCAAAAGCACCTTCCTTTAAATCTTTAAAGGTATTACTGCATTGTCTTATACCATGCGGTGTTAAAAAGAAATTGTTAGATCCCGATCAGTTTCTCATTTTTTATAAGTTCCCTGTTTTATCTTTGAACTCTGGAGGCTTTTTAGGCTCAGGGGATTTTTAATTTATTTTTCATTAAACCTCTCAACACTTAACTGACCCTTTGAAGATCTACATTTTTCTACAATTTAGGAAATTTTTTTTCTGTTACTTTAAATTAATTTCTATTTGTCATCTTATAGCATTAAAAAAATATTGAAACTTGTAGATAGCTTCTTCCTGTTTCTTAACTTTCCTATTGTTTTCCATTCCTTCGCCTACTTATGCACTCAATTATTTGTAAGAACATTGTTTATGGTCAATTTTAGACTTCTGACTAACCCTCCTACAGCTTGCTCATGGGCAGCCTTCATGCTCGGTGAGCGTGAAGTATATCTCACTTTGCCTGAAAAAGCCCAGTTCATAGACAAAGGACCTACCATCAAAACTAGAACTTTTTGCTCTTTTTTTTAATTATCTGCATCAGTTCACCCCATTATTAGTGCAGACCAACAAGCAGGCCATAACCTCTGTGTTTGATTTCAGATGATCTAGGAAAAGACATTTTAAAAATTGTTCTAGGAAAACAGGCACCCTCATGCTGAGTGTCAACTGGTACAATTTCTTTGAGGGACAATTATGTAGTATCTATCACAGTTTTAAATACTTCTTAGCAGTCCTATGAATTTAATCTACACATATACCAGAAAAGACACTCAAATATTCATGTGCAAAAATATTCATTTCACCTTAGTTTTAGGGGGGGAAAAAACTTGAAAGCAACCTTTATTCCCATCAGTAGGAGACTGTATAAACACATTTAAAAGCAATTTAAAAGAACAAGATAGAAGCACATGTACTAACATGAACAAATTCTAATTGTTAAGTGAAAAAATATAGTTTCAAGTTTTAAAAAGACAACATAATATTATCTGCCATATACAGTTTCATTTATATGTATGTAAATGTATAGATAAAGTTCTAGAAGGCTATGCACAAATTGTCATCCCTGGAGAATGTAGTGAGGATGGGATTAGAGGTGATGGGCAAAGAGAAATTTAGACTTTCCTGTAATGTTGCAACGTTTTAGAAAGATAATATATACGCATATTACCGTGCAATTTGAAATTAATTTTTAGTAAGACAGATCTACAAGTAACAATGTTGTCAAGTGAAAACATAATGGTTAGAAGAGTGTATAGAAGACTTTCATTTGTGTAGGAAAAAATTAGGGGGTTATATATATACATGTATGCATAAAATATTTCTGGAAAGATCACCCAAAACCCTGGTAATAAGGACTGTGATAGAGGAGGGGCCCTGAGTCATAGAGGGCCCAGCGGGAGGAAGACTGACTTTTCAGTGCATTCTCTCATGAACTGTTTGAACTTTGTACCATGTGTATAGACTTGTTAATTTTTTGCTGCTGTTGTTAAGAAAGTTATGATTCACATATATGAACATAAACTTTTAGAATATAGGTCTAGATATTTTTCACGCTCATAACATTCTGAAGTTAACTCAAAAACTATGAACAAAGCCACCCATTATTTTTAAATGTGCCAGGAACCTGAGAACAAGGGTGATCATTCAAAGGTGCGTATATACACTTCTCCCTGCATGATTCAAGAGCATCAGGAGACCCTGAAACGGCTGTCTGAAGTCTGGCAAAAGGTCTCTGAACAGGATGATCTAATCCAGGAACTTCGAAATAAGCTAGCCTGCAGTAACGCTTTGGTAAGTGCCTTCTTCTAGAACATCTTTCTGAGACACCCAAAATAAAGCCAGGAGGCAAAAGAGTCGCCTCAAGTAATATCTTCCACCAAGACTCTTCAAATGTCTTTGATATACTTGCTCCTGCCTTTTGTTCATATTCTCCATGGTATACATCCCGTCAACACACATTAAGTTCAAGATGTGTAAAGAGACTTAAAATCTTTCACACAACCACCTGCATGCCCATCAGTAGGGTAATGGTTAAAGTGATTGGGAAATGGTTAGAAAGATCCATATTATGGAATAACATGAAGCCAAGAGAATGGATTAAGCAGATCTGTAAGGGCTACCTGGACAGATGCTTGGGACATATTGTTGAGAGTAAGGTGCAGAATCTTAGATATAGTTCAATTCCACTTTTGTTTTTTAACATCTTCAATCATGATATAGAAGTATATACTGGAAATTGCCAGTATGTCCCTCCCACTTAGTGGAAGTGAGAGAGGGGAAAATAAGTGGAGAGGAAATTTTTACTTCTTATTTTTGATGCTTAGGTTTTATTTGAATTATTCTCAATAAGCAAGAACAAAAATGTCATGGTTTTTTTAAATTTTAAAAAAAGTATGTAGGGCCAGCCAAGTGGCTTGTTGGTTAAGAGTTGGCTTGGGAGCACCAGCTCTGAGCAGCAGGGCCGTCAGTTCAGACTCCACATGGGCCAGTGATGCTGTGCCCTCTACAGCTAAGATGGTGAACAACAGTTCTACCTGGAGCTGGGCTGCCGTGAGTCACCAGCGATGGCGTAGGCTGCAGTGGGTCTGCAGTGGGCTGCCATAAGCTGCCGTAAGTGGCTGGCAGCCGGTGTGAGCTGCCGTGAGCAGCCGTCCAATGGCCAGCAAGTGATCTGCCTCAGCCGGAAAGAGTGCAATGGTCACAATACCAACATGGGCCAGTGAAGCAACGTCCTCCAAAATTAGACTAAAAAACAAAAGGACAGCAACTTATCTGTTCCCCTTCTCCGATTCCCCAATGCTATTCCCTCCCCCCAATTCCCCAATAAAAAATTTTTAAAACTATGTACACATTCACCCATTCCATAAAAAACTTCCTTCTTTAATCCTTGAACTTTGAACCCCATCTTCTGCTAGATTAGTTGCATCTTTCCATCACAGCCCCTAAAGAACCTTCTTCTGCCTAATACATTGGACCACACAGAGGATCAGGAGGGAGTCCAAAATGTGGCCACTGACAGACTCAAGACAAATCATTGTCTATGCGGTAGCGAACTTCAATGTAAGACTGAGAATATAACTCCCTGCCCATACCAATCCCACAGGAAGTGCATGATGAATTATATAATGCTCCAACAATCTTAGGCTGATACAAGGAACAGCCTGCTAAAACAGCACTCAGTAATAAACGCAATACATTGATCATGCAGCATAACTGACCTGTGCCCATTTGCAGGTGCTGGAGCGTGAAGAGGCTTTGATAAAATTACAAGCAGACTTTGCTTCGTATACAGCCACTCACCGACATCCTCCTAGCTCCTCAGAAGATTGTGAAGACATAAAAAAGGTGGGAGAACTTTTGCTTGTTTGTGCCTGGTGAGTCAGGCCAATTTGGGTTTGCTTCTGGGTTTTCCTGCTTATTTTTAAATTTTATATTTTATTTTAAATTTGTGTGACTTTGGTTGGCCCTGAAACAAGGATACCGTATATAATATATGCCAAGCCCCAAGTGTGTCTGGCAGCATTAGATTGGAATTTTGGAATTGAATTGAGGAATTCCACCTTCTTTTTAATGCACTTCCAACAGTACACCTAAACACAACCCCTGTTGGCTTGCTAGATTCCGAAGGGCCATTCCAACCTTCTAGTTTCTGGTTGGAGTTGAAAAGTAGCAAATTTAGGGAAGATTATTAATTCACATTCACTCCCGTTTTTTGAAAACTTGATGTTTTCAAAATTCAAGCCATCTCAAGAGTTGATTGTAATAATGACTAAGCATTTAAATCATGTAAACAAATAGCAAGATTTGACCAACCAACAGTAGATACTAGGTTAAGTTCCCTCCTAAGCAAATCGTGCCTGAACTTGACATACAAGGCAAAGCCAGCCACATAAGGCCATGCTGTGGGCTGGTGAGGGCAGCCTGCGGATGCTGAAATAGGGGCAAAGGTGGGAGGGGGTGGGCAGAGAGAGTAGACAACACATATGTGCTTTCCAAAGGGTCCTCTAGCAGGGGAGCAGAAACTCTTCTCTTTCCAGGACTTTCTGATCCCAGAAAGTTTGAATGAATGAATGAGGGATCAATATTTGGGGTTCCTCCTTGGATATCTGTCAATATTTATTTTATTTTTTTATTTTTCAATTATACTTCACATTCAATATTATTTTATATTAGTTTCAGGTGCACAGCATAGTGATTAGAAATGTATGTAATTTATGAATAGATTCCCCCCATAAGTCTAATACACACCTGGCACTATACATAGTTATTATAATATTTGTCAATATTTATTTTAAAGGTCAGTTCCATGTTATTCACATCCTGACCTACAGCAAGATCTCATAACCCTCCTTTTTTATTTTTGTCTGAATAATGTCTTTATTTCTCCCTTAACGCTTTCATTTTTTGATAGTGGTAAAAAACATGACATTAAATTTACCACTGTAACCACTTTTAAGCATCCAGTTCAGTAGTGTTAAGTACATCCACACTGCTGTGCAACAGATCTCTAGAACTTTTTCATCTTGCAAAAGCAAAACTCTACATCCACCAAACACTAATTCCTCTTTAACACTCCATTTTTTTTAAATGACACAGACTTTACCAAGAAACAGATTATACCTTCCTCCGCCATTTTCTATATCCTATCCAGCGCCTTCATGGCACCTGGATATTCTGTTAGGAATGGAACCATTCACATCACAATTGATGCTTGCAGTCCTCTCTGCTCCACAGACCTGGCATAGACTGGGCCTTTGAGTCTTTGCAGTGCCTACCTCCGGATCATGTGGTGGCTGCCCTGTATTTCCCCAGCTATCCCCTGTCTCCCTGCTGCAGCCCTCCCTCACTGTCAACTCTGAAATCACATACCCTTCCCCTTCAGGGTAGAAGTCAAAGTTCCTGCTGAGGGAATACAAGCCCCACGTGATGTGACTGGCCCCTAGCTTCCTCACCTCGTCTCCTCCTCCTCTCCCTATCACTTGCTCCACTGTAATGACATGGCTTCCTCCATGTTCCCTCCCTGAGGCCTTGTCACTAGCTAGTCCCTTTGTCTGCAAAGCTCTTCCCTCAGACACCTGCAACATGGCTCACGCCCTCACCTCCAGCACATCACTGAGAAGGCCACCTTCTCAGTGAGGCCAACCAATCCATCCTATTTAATATTGCAGCCCCACGTCCCCCCACATCCCATCACCTCCATTCCCCTTTTGCTGTTCTGCTTGTTTCTTCCATAGATTTTATCAACTTTGAACATTTTCTGTAAGTCATCACTTATTATGCTCTTTGTCTGTCTCACGCCACCAGAAGGTCAGGTCCATGGGAGCAAGGATTTGTGCCTGTGTTGTTTGCAGCACCCAGGACAACACCTGGCACATAGTAGGTGCTCTATCAATGACACTGATTGTTGCAGGGAAAGGAAGAAATGGCTTCTTTTGTGCACATTCCGTATGAGTGTGAGGAGTCTACCACATCCTTTTTTTTTTTTAATTCTCTCCTCCTGTTTTTTATAAATTGAAGTTTTTTATAATTGACAGACCATAAAATTCATCATTTAAAGTGTACACTCAGTGGCTATTAGTGTATTCACAGAATTGGGCAACATCACCACTAGTTCCGGAACATGTTCTTCACTCCAAAAAGAAACCCATACCCATGAGCAATCACTCCCCATCCTCCCTCGCCCAACCCCTGGCAACCACTACCCTGCTTTCTACCCTACGGGTTTGCTTGTTCTGGATGTTCAGCATCTTATAAAGCATCTTTCCCCCGTGTTCTCGTCCTGCCCTGCCCTTCTTCTGTCCGCACAGATACTGAAGCACTTGCAGGAGCAGAAAGACAGCCAGTGCCTGCATGTGGAGGAGTACCAGAACCTCGTGAAGGACTTGCGCATGGAGCTGGAAGCCGTGTCGGAACAAAAGAAAAACATCATGAAGGGTAAACGTGGTGGGGGGTGGGGGGTGGGAGACTGGGGGGCTGCGGGGGACGGAGCCAGAGGAAGCCAGAACCCACCTCTGAGGAAGAAGCGCTGTGTCTCCTCCCACGGTAGACATGATGAAGCTGGAGCTGGACCTGCACGGGCTGCGGGAGGAGACTTCCGCCCATGTGGACAGGAAGGATAAGGAGGTGGTCATCCTGCAACGGCGGCTGCAGGAGCTGCAGATGCAGTTCACTGAGACCCAGAAGCTCGGTTTGAAGAAAGACACGGTAAGACCAGGAGCTACCTCAGCAGAACCACCAACAGGGCTGGCGTGAGGCCAGGCCTTGGCCAGGTGGGGTGGGTTCGGCAGTTCTGCACCCACTGGGATTGCCTGGGGAGCATCAACACCTGTGCTGTGGGGCTGTGGGCTCCTGAGGCCCAGAGACGAGCCTGAGCACATCTTTGGTATTTCTCTAAATGAATGAATGAAAGTGAATGAATGAATGGCTTATCCAGGGAGCTTGATAGAGGTGTTGACTCTATAAGAAAGAGGTCCTTCCTCAGCCTTGCAAGGTAGAGAGTCTGGAACACACCTGCGTTGTTCCCTTGCTTTTGTTGATGCTTGATAGTGGAAAGAAATATTATAAAATAATATGTTGCCTTATTAAGAATATGAAGTGAATTTCAATTTTAAAAATTACAGATATCTTAGAATATGCAAATCAGTCATTTTGGAACTCTTAATGGAGCTATGCCCTAGATCTGTAGTTGCCAACATAAATCAAGGTCCTGGAAGTCTGGAAATGAAACCAAGGACAGAAAGGTTGTGAAAGCAATGCAAGCTTTTGTATTCAGTACTATCCAGCTCTTACTTTTATCAGAGTAGGAATAATCCAAATGACTGGTCATTCACACCTCCTATTGCAAGGTACAGAGGTGACCCACCAGTCAAAATGGAGGTGTTTGGAGAGATGACAAGAAGAAGAAGCAAGGTGTCTGGATGATCAGCTTTGAGTCATTCATATATTCATCCAACAACTATCTTTGAGCCCTTATGATATGCCAAACACTGTTCTAGGCACTAGGAATATAATAAAACATGAAGCATCCCTACTCTCATGGAGCTTACATTCCAGTGTGGAGAGACTCAATAAACAGATAACAAAATTAATATGTAATATAATGTCAGATACTGATAAATTCCTAAAACAGCTTGGCGGCTGTTTTACACAGGGTGGTCAGGGAAGGCCTTTGACAAAGTGACATAGGGAAGAGATTGGAATGCAGTGAGGGAGCCACCCAGGCAAAGGTCTTGAGGAAGAATATTCCAGTGAGAGGGAACAGCAAGTGCAAAATCCCTCAAGTGGGAGTCTGCTTGGAGTGTTCCTGGAGACCAGCTAAAGCAGAGAGGGGTGGGGGTGGCAAGAGGTGAGGTCAGCCTGGTAGCTAATGACCAGATCATGAGCATCCTTGGGAGGCCCTTTTTGTAAGTGAGGTGGAGTGGACAGTTTTGAGCAGGGGCGTCTGACTCGTATTTTTAGAGGCCCCCTCTCTGGCTGCTGGAGTGAGAACAGCATGAGGGGAGCCAGGGAACCAAGGTAGGAGGCCATTGCAGTATCCAGGCAAGAGAAGACGGTGGCTGGAAGAGGGCTCAGGACAACCTCTGACTGACTCCACCCTGCCTCTCTTCAGACCTTTCTTAGCATGAACACTTTGCTTTCCTCAGCTCCTCCAAGAGAAAGATGAAATGCTGCACGAGCTAGAGAAGGAACTGGCACAGGCTCAGACCATGCTCATGAAGAAGGAGGTGGAGTTGGAGAAGCAGCAACTAATGGCAACAGAACTCGAAATGGCCATCCAGGAGGCGAAGCAGAATAAGTGCAAGGTGGAGTGTGGGGCCCTGCGAGCTGAGATCCAGAAGCTAAAGGACTGTCTCGAAGATGCCCAACAGCAGCAGAGGCTGGCCGGTGAGGCCCCAGCAAGCACCAACCCCACCACACTGCCAGCACGTGGGGCGAGAGCAGCCCCTTCTCTCTCTAAAGCCACTTCCCTCCACTGTCTCACTCCAAACCTTCCCGTGATCTCATCTCTCATCTCAGCAGTTACGACCGCCCGCTTGAACTCCTTCACTCACACCCACCCTCACCTTCTCTCTGGAACCTTCTCCACAGAGCAGGTGCTCGGCTGGGGACAGTGAACTGCCCACTGTTTTCTCAGCAGCTCAGATGAAGATCCTCTCCTTTTCTTGCCTCGGGGAGGACAGGGCTCTGTCCTGTGCTTCTTTGCACCAGACACCTCTCCCATCTTCTCCAGGACCTTCATCACCCAAGTTACCTCTTCCTTCCCTGGTTTTTAACAAACACTCTCTCTCCTGTTTTTTTGTTTTGTTTTTGCCTCAAACTTTCTCTTCTTCACAGCTTGCACTGTGGATTGTGTCCTTGTCCCTCTGCTAAAACCGCTTTCTCAGAGGTCACCAGTAACTTCTTGCCTTGGACATGAAAATGTCCTGGAATTAGATATTGGTGATAGCTGTACACCTTTATGAATATGCCAAAACCCACCGAACTGTACACTTTAAAGGGTAAATTTTATGTGATGTGAGTCACAAACCCTGGCTTCCTTCCTCACCCTCCTTTAACTCTGTATGTGTCTATGCTGTTGGCCCCCGTACTCAACAAGTGTTTCTTAGCTTTGGAGACATAACAGGTCCCTTGTTCTTCCACAAACTCACCGTTGTTTCCTCTTTTCCCTCCTGTGCCAACAGTAGTCATTCACCCGTAAGACTGCCCTCCTCCTTTTCGCCTCTCCCTCTACACTCATTCCTTGGTGAGTGCCTCCCCCTGTAGCTGCATTTCCATACAGATGACTCCAAAACCTAGGGCCCCAGCCCTGACTCCACACCTGTGGCCAGTCTTGTCTTAAGAGACTAGCTCCACTTGGGCAACTACCATCCCTTCTAACTCAACATTCCCAAAATGGAACCTGTTCTCTTCCCTGCTTTAAAAAAAAAAAAATCCTCCTTTCTTCAAAGGCGCATAATTATTTCTGTAATGACACCATCTTTCTTCAAGTATCCCAGGCTGAAAGAATGGAGAGGAGAGTGACGTTTAAAGTAGAAACTATAGGATGTGGGGATATATTTGCCGTAGAGAAAATCCAGGAAGCAACGTATTTGGATGTTTTTCTCTTCATACCCAGGGAAGGCAAGGACATGGGCTAACAGGATGTTGTAGGAAGTCTTTCTCCACTCTAACCTGTTCCCATTTTCCTAAAGCACTCTTTCCTTTATGTCAGGTCTCCACTCAAGAACCCACATTAAGTCTAAACATTCCTGTCAGGCTTTCAGAGTCCTTCAAAGCCGCCTTTAGTCCCCGCACTTACTCAACTCTGTCTCCCAGAACTCTTACCCAGTTTCCTTTCCAATTAAACCGGCCTCTCGCCACCCTTTTCCCCTATGCCTTCCCCATTCCCTTCACCGAGTGTTTACTCTAACAACCCCCCTACCTGGAATTCCTTAACTCCTTTTAACAGACTTTTTAACTGGTCTGTTGTGAGAGTCTGATCTTCTCACACGAACATGCCCGGCTTGTCTCCCATCTTCTGCAGCTCAGCAAGCTGCCCAATATAAAGAAGAGGCCATTCTGGCAAAAGATAGCCTGGAGGACTCCCAGAGGAAACTGCAAAACTGCATTTTCCTGGAGAAGCAGAAGACAGACACCATCCAGGAGCTGCAGCGAGAGCTTCAGAAGCTACAGAAGGATTCCCTGATGGCCGAGGAGGAGCTCACACCCAACAGGTACCCCAGGTTCACCTCCAGAGACGCTCTGTCCCAGGTGAGCCCGTCAGGATGCTGTGAGCGGCTGCCCAGAGGTGGGATAGCAAACCCCGTGCGGCCAGCTCACGGTCCACCAGCACAGATACCCAAGTTGTCATTGCCTCCTGTTGTTGCCATTTCACTTTAGGAAACGGATAGAGGAGCTGACATCAGAACTCTCGGAAGCCCTGAGGAAGCTTGAAAATGCAGACAAGGAAAAGAGGCAACTTCAGAAGACAGTGGCTGAGCAGGATATGAAACTGAACGACCTGCTAGATCGCATAAAACTCGTTCAACACCAGGTATGAAGGGCCAGCAGGCAGGCAGCTCAAACATTTGCTCTGCTTGACATTAAATATATCAGTTTTTATTCGGGACAATGCCACCACCAATCCATTGCAGACTGATTGTCCAGAATTTGTGTTAGAGTGCTAAGCCAGCCAGTCAGCTCCGGCGTCTGTTCCTGTATGCAAAGGGCTCGCTGCTTGAGGTGTTCTAGTCAGGAACAAGCCATGGTTGTCGTTAGCTAGTTTTATTCACTGGCAGCAAGTAAAGGAGACAGGGGAGTCAGATCTACAGCTCTGTCCCCGAGGGGAGACTTAGCCATTGCTTACTTATATATACTATTTGTTTAATTACACCTTGATTTCTTCTTTGCAATCGGCTACACTTATCTGGTTCAGTTCTGTCAAGTTCATTTTGGGTATAGCTACACCTGCAAAATATTGTGCTACGTTTTAACAGTTAGCAAGAGTAGCATTTAGTAAGAGATGCCCAGACCTCCTCCTCGCTAACATTCCCACCACCAATAATAAGCATTTTCAAGGGCTAAGCTTAAAAATAGTCAAAGGACATTGTTGTTGTTTTTTTGGGATTCAAAAGTGATCCTTGTCAGTTAATTTCAAGTCTTTGATCTCTGAATTATTTTTTTTGTGCTTTTCTAACATAGTTTTTAACTTTATTCAAAGAGGTTTTTATGTGAAAAGATGTGGTACGTGGGAGAGAAGGTTGATGCTGTGGGCACTAGATCTGTAAATAAAATAAGTTGGTGTATCTAATTGAACAAATTTAAAATGTTGCTGAACATCAGAGGAAACTTATTTATCATACATGGTAAAAAACTAAGGAGTTGTCCTCGTATTTATTTCAGCCATTCTCTAGGTACAGTTCTCTGAGTTTGTTTGTTTTACAAAAAAAAAATAAAAAACACAGTCTAAGACTGTCTTCCAGCCATCTTTATTTTCTCAGCACAGGGAGCAAGGCTGCACCAAAACCACTCTGGAAGAGGAGCTTAAGGAGGCAACAAGGTTACTGGAGGAGAAGCGGGAGCAGTTGAAAAAGAGCAAAGAACAGGAGAAGGTGCTGGAGCAAGAGATTGAGTCACTCCGACAGGAAGAAAAAAGGAAAGAAAAGATGGTGAGAAGGAGAATCTGGGACGAGTCAGGGTCATGAATACAGGGCCAGACAGGATTCCAGCCAGGCCTTGCAGGATACAGAAGCTGTGGGCACTCAGAACACAGGAGAGGAGGGAGAAAGGGTGAGAAAGGCAAGTGGGGAGGAGAGAGATGGCCGGAGCTGCTGCAGGGCGCAGAATGGAGTTGAGCGAGGGAAGGAGAAGTGGGCTTCTACCAGGGTCTAAGGGTAACACCTCTTTTCTGGGCTTTGTTCTTTAATGGGGAGCAGTCAAAAGAGAATTTGCAAAAGTTGGAGGAGGAAAACGAGACTCTCAAAGCACAGTTAAAGCAATGTTCTACACAACTGGATTCCTCTCTCAGCAAACACAACGCCTCCCAGAAAGTCATCCAAGAGCTGAATAACAAGGTGAGTGAAGCCCCTTCGTTCTGTAATATACATATGTGTGTATATAGTTTTTTTGGTGTCTTTCTCTAAGATAAACCACTCATGTTAGAGAAATTTAAGCTAAAGCTTCCATTTTAACTTCTAGCATCACTGTGATTTTTTTCACACACCCCCCTTATTTTCATATCTCACCTCTGTGGTGACATTCCTCGATCAGACCACCAATTATCAAGAGCTTCCGGTAAATTGTAGTTTCTCCAGTGACTCCCCTGGTTTCCTGGGCAGACCCAGTTGACTCCATGTTTTTCAGAAGTCTCCAGAAACTACGCACTTTTATTTCCAGAAGACCAAATTATTCTATCTTGAGGATTAGTTTCACACCTGAGACATGTAAATACTTCACTAATTCCTAGGGTCAAAGATACTCAAAATTCCATCTGGAAAAATAATAAACTTCAAGCACTGAGCAGTTACTGAAGAAAGCCCAAAAGATTATGTTTCTGTGTGTATAGCCACAGGAGAATACAGTGGGCTAGAATACCAAAGAATAGAAGTCAGAGCTTGGGGGGTGGGTTATCACTTTAGGAGGGGTTTAAATGTCTAAATATTATGTTGCTTTGTACACCTGAAACTAACAAAAAAAAGAAGTCAGGCATATGAATCTCTAAGGTCTCCCTCCTGCTTCCAGACTTAGAAGTAGATCTCTGTCCTGCTCTTAAAGTATATAGTAAGATGGCTAATTACTTAGCATATGCATGATCATAACTCATGGATACACAGTGATTTATACTTTACAAAGCCCTTTTTACATATGTAATCTCATTTGATCATCACAAAAACTCTATGAAATAGTTGAAATTATCCCAGTTTGCAGAAGAGGAAACTGAGACTCGGAGAGATTAAGGAAATGACAAATGAGAGATTAAGGGCCTCAACACAGATCCTATAACTCCAGATCTCAATTCCTTTTAACCACCATGAATACTCGTTACCAAGTTTAAGACAGACTTCAGTTTTTAAACACACTTCTATGTATTCAGTGCACCCCTAATTCCAAACATTGCCCAATGCAATATTTCACTCAGTCCAAAAGAAAGAAAAAAAAATAAGCATTTAGTATTTACTGAGCCCCTATTATGTGCCATGCCCTGCACTACAGGTGGTGGGATGCAGTGATAAAAATAGCATGCATGGCCCTACTTTCACAGTGCATCAAACCTAGTGAATTATGTCAGGAACCACGTGAGGCACAATACATGCAATTGAAATGTTTTATCACATCTCCCATCCTAGAATTGGATTCCAGATCTTTATCAAAGGCTGCAGAGTCTATGAAAGGGACTGTTCATGTACTTGTCACATCATGGCCCAGTACCTCCAGAGCTCCTTGAATTTGGGTGTCATGCTAACTAGAAGGGGAACTGTGGGGAGAGGGGTGCAGAACAGCCTGGAAAGGCAGCTCTTCCTTTTATAACAATGAGGTGAAATAGGGCGGTATCACATGCTGCTCTGCAGGTTAGTGCAGAGAAGAGAGCCCAGGGCTTGTCCATTTCCTGTGGGCACCAAGCGCACCTCTGCAGCCATGAACCTTAACAGTGATCTTCCCCTCCCTAAAGATAGCCCTTCAGAAGGAGGCCTTAGCATGTCTGCAGGCCCAGCTAGACACAGCTTTGCAGAAAGAGAAGCGATGTCTCCAGACCATGGTCACTAAAGAATCCTATGAGGAATTATCCCGGAAGTCCATCGCCTGCCAAGACGACCTGACACAAGCCCTTGAGAAGGTGGGCCACACTCTCTTTCTCCAGGGCTGTTTGGGGTAAAGAAATGTCCTGGCAGTGGGAGAGGAATAGGAGTCGACTTCCTGCACTACTGGCTGTCACCAAGACTGTCTGCAAACCCTCGCATGGGCTGGGATGTCTGTCCAGAGAAGGCCCCCTTCCTCTTCGTGAGGGCTTGGAGGGAGGGGGCCAAGGATGGAGGCCAAATCTAAGCCTTTCTGCCCGTGGATGGTCCAGGACAAAGTTTTCCCAAAACCTGGATTAGCAGGGAAATTCCTACCTCATCCCTATGCTGATCGTGCCTGGCTGATCTGTTCATAGTACCGGAAAGAGAGGCAACAGGGGAGGGAATGCAGGGACGCAGAACACCAACCACTGTCGTGGCCCCCTCCCCTCAGGGACACTAGGAAGGTGGCGGTGTCTGTGCCACCGTGGGCAGAGGACAGGGAGGGACTGGAACCCTTCTCCATTCAGGGATCAGCAGAGAGGGCCAAAGGGCTCTGACAGCCATTCTCATCTTGTCTTTACCGGAAGCTCAACCACACAACCGCAGAGACCAAGAGCCTGCACCGAAGCTTGACACAGGCCCAAGACAGGAAAGCTCATCTGGAAGATGAAATCACGGCTTACGAGGAGAGGATGAAAAAGCTCAACATGGAATTAAAAAAACTTCAGGGCTTCCACGAGCAGAGTGAGCTGGAGGTGAAGAGGAGCTTGGGGCTCAAGCTGCCTTCCTGTTTGGGGGTCCCCAAGGTCGCCTCTTACACCCAGAACTATTTAGCACCCTTTAGCTACCCCCTTGCTTGGCCCATTGAGCTTCAGGCCCAGGCGGCAACGATCAGAGCAGGGGCACCCTCTGCTGGCCGCTGAAAATAAAATACCCCCTAATGAGTCTCCCAAAGCCGAGAAAGGGCCCTCTGGCTTTGTCATGGGTCCTTTAGGGTCAGGACAGCAAACAGCGTTCCCCTCCTCACTTTGCATTCTGAACAGGTACATGCCTTTGACAAAAAGCTGGAGGAGATGAGCAACCAAGTGCTGCAGTGGCAGAAGCAGCACCAGAGTGACCTCAAGATGCTGGCCGCTAAAGAGGAGCAGCTCAGGGCGTTCCAGGAGGAAATGGCCGCCCTGAAGGAGAACCTCCTTGCCGATGAGAAGGAGGTCGGTGCTTTCTGGTCACTTCCTCCCAGCAGCTCCCAGCACATTCCACAATACAGCCCTTAGTCGGGGCGGAGGTGCCTGGGAGCAAGGAAAGGACACCCAATCTATTCAGTACAAAGCAGAGTCTGGGTGTTTTAGGGCCACATGTCTGTCTCAACCCAGTCATCTTCCTGTGGCCTTGCTGATAGAGATATTGAGCAGAACAAGGCCCCATTCCTGAGGGGAGAGAGTGCCATCTCCCTGTCAGGTACACCCCAATTTAGATAATCCACTGTGCAACCCCCCTCCACTTACCCTGCAGTATAGTCAGCTAAGAGAGCTTCGGGCATACCCCTGCCTGGCTCCTCGAGAATGACTCATGGCAGGAAGCCACACGGTGTCTTGGGGTGGCCACAGGGCCTTTGCTCCAATTGGAAAAAAGCATCCCTTCCTCAAGATATGTTTTTCTTCCATCTGTTAAAAACTTGGCTTAACATATTGGTTTATTTAGAACAAGCTACGGTAATGCCTTTGGCCTGAAAATCATTATTATAAGTGTGCAAATCTACTTTGTCTCTACTATACATGGTGCCAGCTCAAAGATGTCACTTTCATGTAGGTGTCACCTGCACTGATAGAGGTGGGGTCCAACTCTGGACTCAAGAGTTGGATAGCAGTCAGTGTTTCTTCTCCTAGGAAGAGAGAAGAGGCCTGATTTGGGGGTAGGGAGGTGACAGGTCTATGCTCCCACCTCTTATGATCTCATTGTTTTTTTTGTACCAAAGTCCTGTTGCCTGCCCCCGCGGTCAGTGGCCAAAGACACCTGTAGGCTGCACCTAGAGAATGATCAGATTATGACCAACATGGAGCAATGGGCAAAAGAGCAGAAGTAAGTAAGGAAGGAAAAAGTAAGGCAGGGTCCTAAGGCCTGGTCTGAACTGAGGACTCACACATGTGCCAAAAAATAGTGTCTCACATACACGTGCGAGCACACGTACACACACGCGCACACACACATGCGCACACGCACACACACTGCCCTCCTGGGAAGCTGATTCAGTCTCCGCCCACATCCAGGGGGCGGGGATAAATGGAAAGACCTCGACTCCTCAGACAGGTCCAGAAGGCCCTGCTGATTTGGGAATGGAGCAGCTACACAATTGATGCTTCATTGAGGGTCAGATCTCCTCTTCTCAACCTGGGGTCCAGCTTCAGTGCCTGGATCCCTTGAACTGACCTGAGATCACAGTGATTTTGCACGAAAGCTGAGTACGGAGTGTTCTCTTAAAAGCCAGGTGCCAGGAGGGCTCCAGCTCTGGGGATCGGGTGATGAGCGGAGGTCTGGGGCCCAGCACAAGCCTTGCTGAGAACACCCAGTGCCCCACTCAGCCAGCTTGTGCGCTTGCTCACACAGGTCTGGGAACTCCTTTCTCTTGTGGATTTTATTACAGGATCGCCAATGAGAAACTAGGAAACAAGCTCCGTGAACAGGTTAAATATATCGCCAAGCTGACGGATGAAAAGGAGTAAGTCATCCCCACCATCCCAGCTGCTGCTCGGGCCCCAAGTAGAGGGGTCAGCCAGGAGCCAGGGCAGCTCTGTCACTGGACATGCAGATCTGAGCCCAGGAAAGGCCTGGGGCTTGGAAAGACCCCAAGTCCTACCCGTATCTGTGTGACCTTAGACACATCACTTGACCTCTTTGGGTCTTAGTTCCCTCAGCAACAATAAGAGGGGGTTAATAGTCTCTGAGTGCCTTCCGCTATCACTTCTATGATTCTCAGAGCTCAGAAATGCTGAGAAGAAAAGAGGCCCTGAAAGGCAGACTATTAGTTAAGGTAGGGGCTAAGCTGCTGTAACGGATCTCCAAGTGAACATAAAACATAGATGGAACATCTCTAGGAGATGAGCAGTCCAGATTGGTGGGGTTCCTCTGTCCCACATGGTCATTTGGGAACCTAGTTCCTTCTCCTTATTGCTCTTCCCTCCCCTATGGCCTTGCTTCACTTTCATGATCAAAGCTGGGTCAGCAGAGAAAGTGATAGGGGAGGAGTGTTGGAAGTTTGGGAACAGAAGTGAAGGTATGGATGTCTAAAACTGAGATTTCAAAGGTGGTATGATAACAAGTAATGACAAGCTCTAGGGCAGTGCTTCAGGGGACACTTAGAAAATGACCACATTTGTTTGGCATACTGGAAGGGTCTGTGATGGGCTTGTTTTGACAAAAATTGACCAATCAGCAACTGCCCCGAGCCCTAAGCAAAGGATGGAGACATCTCAGCACACCTGGCACCCATTTGTGGAAAGCTCAATCTGGGCTTTGACCTAGGAAGGGGTGGCTGAGTTAAAGGACAGGATCATTGGAATAAGGAGGTAGGAACTGAGAGGCCAGGACATGATAGAAAGTATGGGGTGTTGAAGGTATCGGGGATGCTGACAGGAGTGGACCAGAGACAGTGGCAGAGAAACAGGGAATAAGGTAGGCGAGGAACCCATCAACAAGGCCGGTGGCATATGGCATATGGTGATGACATGAGGGACTGCAAGGAAAGGGGTATCTTCATCTCCAGACAGGTTTATAGAGAGTAAGAGAACAAAGCATAAAGATGAATTGTCTATTTGATTTCCTTTAGAAAACAAAAAAAAAAGAAAATTTTCACTAAGACGAAAATATTTTCTGAAAGGGTTTAACTAAAAGAAAAATGGTTAGAATCTGAGGGTAACAGAAAATGTCAGGCTTTTTCTTATGTTGTACCAAATTCCAGGTAGTTCTGTTTCACAAAGAACTCATTCTCAAGTGTGCTTGAGCCTATTTGAAGGAAACCCATCTTTGAATAATAATAATAGCTCCACTAATATTTATTATGTACACATGTGAGGCACTGTTCTAAGTGCTTTACATGTGTTAACTTATTTAATCTTCATAAGACCTCATGAATTGGGTGCAGTTATAATCCCCATTGATGGATGAGGAAAGGAACTCAGAGGCTAAATAAATTATCCATGGTTGTGAGTAAGTGGCAGAGCCAGAATTTCCAACTTGGGAAGTCTGATTCCAGAGCCCACTGTCACCACTGCCCTCAGCATTGGTTTGGAGAAATACAGTTATTGGTGTGAATAGCTGCCATTGATTCAGCCACAGGAGATATACTAAGTTATCTTTCCCCTGGCCTACGCCACAGCCACCATTCCATCATCTGTAAAATGGGGATAAGTGACTAACCCAAGCTCTCAACAGAGCCGGATCCCCGTACTCCCAACCTTTCAGCAAAGGGATGTGAAAGAACTTGGGCTTTGGCATCAGAACTGGGTGAGAGTGCTTCTAAGCCATGGCCATGAGAAACTAAGGTCATGTCATCAGTGTCGTTCATAACAGGTTCCTGGCTCTTCCAATCAAATGTCTGTCGTTTGTCAAACTGGATCTTTATATGAACCCTGGAAGGCAGATCAAATGTGGCTGTCCCCATCTAACAGATAAGAAAACAGGGCAAGAGCTGACATGACCCAATGGATGAGGAGTTCTGGTTCTGGGTCCACCCCAGCCCCAGTTCTGGGCTTCTTCCAGGCCTCCCTATCCATGGAGCATGTGTAAGAGCACCAGCTCTGGAAGGAGCTGGGCGTCCACAGCCCTCCCTCCTGTGGCACCTGGATCTGTCCTTTCCAATGGGGAACCAAGGAACTGAAGCAGACCGAACACCCATCTGGCCTTCCCTCTCCTCCCGCAGCCAACTCCACAACGTAATGGTCCATCTGCAGCAGGAAAACAAGAAGCTGAAGACCGAGATAGAGGAGAGGAAGCTGAAAGCCGGGCACCCAAGGTTATGCACCAAATCCCTGGGCCCAAGCAAAACGGAGTTCACACAAAGGGGGAGAGTGTGCAACACCTTGGGCTGGAGGGGGACGACCCAGGACATGAGCCACAGAGTGGACATCACCAAGTGTCTCAGGATGCCCCACTGCTCAGGTATGTCTGCCATTTGTCTTTCGCTACTTACTATGATGTCGTCTCTTAGTCCCATGGGTCAAAAAAATAACAGCCTGATATTATATTTCAAGAGATCACTGGATTGGGAATTCAAATCGGGAAAAGAAAACAGGTCTTTTTCTTAGGTACTCTGGACTAGAAACAGTTCCTTGTCTGTAGACAAGGCTTGTTCCTGATCTAAGAACCTTTGCTGATACCCGAGTGCCTCAGGTCTCAGATCTGTCCCTCACTCTGACCAGTCCCTTTTGGGAATTATGGAGAACAGGCAGAATAGGTATCTTCCTTCTGGAATGTGTTCTGGAAACTGCACAGCCTGGGTTCACAGCTACCTTTTCTGCCGCCTCTAGACTCCATGTTACCCCAGAGGGAAGAAACCACACTGCAACAGAGCTGCCTGGCCACAAGGCCAGTCCTCGAGGAATCCCTCCTTCATTTCTCCTCAGATCAAGACTGTCATTTCCTCCGTTTCCTCAGGTTCCTCATATTGCTAGAATCAGTGCCTTGCCCCGAGCATCATTTCCACGCATGTTTTGCAGAGGACATCTCTCTCTTGACCTGGATCAGCTCTTATGGGAACATATCAAGGTCCCAGCTTATTGTGCAAACTGCTAATGTTTGATTGAGTGTTGTCCCCTTCCTGCAGTGGAGTGAGCCTTGGAGCCACCCTACCATCCCCAGGTCCAAACCCTAAAATAAAGACATGAGCACAGCAGTCTCAGTGAGCTCTTGACGTCTTGCAGACATCTCTGTCCCCGCGAGCCCCCAGCAATGTGTTCATCCCTGCCTTCCCTGCATTCTAATGATATAGGTAGGTCCCTCTCGCATTTATATGGAGTTATAATTCCCAAAGAAAGCTTCCGGATGAGTTTTTAAACCAACAAGAGATTATTAGCTCCTTTTTTATTCTTTCCATCTCTGTCTGGAATTTAAGAAGAAAAAAACATCTAAAATCCTCAAAAAGGAAAGTAATCCTGAGACCCAAAAGAAGGAAGAGAAATAAGTGATGCATTTTCCAAAATGGAGGTGAGAGAGCCATCTGCTTTCTCCCTGGCCACCACATTCCATTCCTCCTTTTAACAATTTTATTTTTCTCCCCAGCCAGCTCAGTACAAGTAAAATTCCATTATAACAAACTCCAAGGACAGCTAAACTATTTTATTGTGGTAGGATTTTGTTAAACTGACTACATGTCTAGAATTTCTATTTCTAGCCTATAGGACATTGAGAAAAATAGCTACGAAGGTAAAATAAGAGAAAGTGAAAGAACTTGTATTTCTGGGTAGAAGGAAAGGAAAAGCGAAGGAAGAAACCCACTAGTTAGTTGGTAGTGGTTCTTAAATACTCTTGCCTCCCTCCACAGTCAAATGAAAACCAAGCAAAGTCACTGCTAATAGCTACACAGAATGTCCCTGCCGAGACTTGGGACGGGCCAATTTTAGAAGTGCAGTGTGAGGTGGGGGTGATGGGCATGTTGGTAGTCTTGTTGTCATGGGTGTTGCCTGTGTGTTTATGCTCCTTTGACTGTGTGCCCCCATTTGGTTTAGAATAAGGATATATTTTCTAGAATAGAGAGAGAGCAAAACTGCTCTAAAAATAACAAAAAAGAAAGAATTACAAAGCTAGGACTTAGCCAAGGGGATTATAAATAAAATAAGTGCTTCAGCCACCCAGTGAGAGGCTGTCACTCAGATTGGGGCCAGTAGAATCCTGTGTAACAGACCCTCTCTGCCCACCTGGAGTCTAATTCTTCTCCCCCTTGGCCTGCTTCCTTACCGAAGGGAAGAGAGAACTCACTGGAACCACCAGGTTGCCTTTCGAGACTCCTGCTGAGGAAGAAGCTCCTGCCGTAGACAGGGCCTGGGAAGCAAACTCTGGGGTCCCCAGGATGAGTCCCCTATCTCAGCCTGAGACCCTCAACAGCTGACATTTCTAGTGTATCCAAAGCACTGTGTTATCATCAACTAGGGATTAAAGGATAGAAACATGTGACTGAGTACAAGGCAAGGGACCCCAGGACAGACTTCCAGTTCGACGGCCTCACTGTTCCCTCACACCAAAAAGTCTGAAAGCCAGTCTCAGGAATCCACGTCAGGGCTGTTGGCACAGAAATGTTTTTATACCTCTAGAAAGAGTCAGTTATCATCTGAGAAAGATGGTAAGAATCAGAGTATGAAAGCTGGAAGGAACTTTTAAGGTGGATCTGAATGGAAAGGATCCGCAATTGAAAACATTGGAGACACAAGTGCAGAGTCTGGCAGAAGTCCCGAGACCAGAACAGATTCAGGTAGAGCCTCGGGGGGCGGAGAGCCCCCCCACGGATCTAGTGGCACCCGTGAGTGCCAAGTGTCCCTTGCCAAGTATTCTTGCTTTTAAAATAGAAGGTTGGATTGGATGCGTGGTTTTCATAATCTCTCTGGCCTTTTTCTTCTTATCTAAAAGACCTGAAGGTAAGTTTGTGACCACAGTCACAGCCTGTTAGTCATAAAGCCAGTGTCTTCCCTGTGCTGTTGCATCCCGGGCCCATGTCTGTAAATAGATCACATACCCAGCTTACTTCTCTCCACAGAGCAGGTAGACTCCTTCTCCTAGCCCTTCAACCCAGGGCCACGACAGAAGCCTCCCCAGCAAGCAGCCAGAAGCCCTCTCTTCACTCCAGGAGCCCTCTCTTCACTGCACCTGCATTCCCAATAAAGGTGGTTAGAGGTACAAGGAACGGAAGTAGAGGTATAGTTGGTGCTGGCTGGTAAAGCCTGACTTCCAAACTCATCCATAAAAGTGACATGAATTTTAACTTATATTGAGTTATAGCAGATGGAAATTCAAATCCCAGGAACAGAGCAAGGAAGGGAGTGGAAGGAAGTCAGCAGTGTGAGCCCAGCGCCCCAGGGCTCACTGAGCACAGGCCACTCTCCACGTGCCTTGAAGTCCCCAAGCCTGTTGGTGACTTAGCCCCAACACAGAACCTTGCAACCAACATGCCTGGCAGAAGCCCAACCCTAGGAAATCACAAAATAAGGGCCAAATACCCAGTCACCTCAGCAGATTCACCAGGCTGCTTAACAAAAAGTTAGTGATTCCAGCAAAAGGATCATCTTTTACACGAAAATCAATAGGCAACATTTTACACTGTTTTCCATCAACACACAGCCTTTACACACTCAAAGAGTAGAAACTTCTGCCATTCTGAACAAGAGAGCAGCCAACCCACCCCTGGGGAAAGGCAGAGGGCACGCGGCTACCCACCAGCCTTAGGAACAGCTGGGCCCCCAAGCTTGGTTTGGTGCACCAGGCCATTCTCCTTCCCTGCCAGCTGTGTCCAGCTCTGCCAACCCCTCCTCTAGGAGGCAGGACCTGGAGAACAGAAACAAGGCGAGCTGGGGTTCTAGGAGGACCCACCTGAGGAAAGTCAGGTTGGGGACCTGCGATCTTTTCTTTATTATGTGATTTAGGGCAGCAAGGGAACGAGGAACAGTCAGAAATGCAATAACATTTTACAAATAATAAATTTATTTCCAAATCCTGAATTATAACCAAATTACAGTTCCCTCTAGGTCTGTTTTGCTGCTTTACACAAGAATTTTTTTTAAAAAAAGTCATGGTCAAGTCATTTATACACCAAGCATCCTGGAGACAGTGTATTTGGATACGATGGGTCTGGCCACCTCTCGCAGCTTTGCGGCTACTCTGCGGCCCTGGCCCCACGCCTGCACTGAGGAGCTCTACTCCCTCCATGGTAGAGCCTGGCCTCAGCAGGAGCTTCCCCTAGGGGCCTATGTACACAGATGAAAGCACACAGATGAAAGGGTTTTGTCAGCAGGCCTGGGGTGCTCCAGCCACTCAATACCTGGCTCCCACGGTGCCAGCCTCAGCTCATAGCCCAAAGCGGGCTGGCGTGCGGCGAGGAGTCATGGGTTCCCCTTGCTCTTTCCGACCTGGCGTGTAGATCTTTGTAGACCTGGAGACACAGAAAGAGGGATTAGGAATCACACTGCTGCTCACGCCAGCCAGATGCACAGCGGAGCCAGGGCCTGCAGCCTTGCTGTTTCTAGCTGGTGTGTGAGCAGGCTTCGGGGCCGAAGGGGCTTCTCCCAGCACACTGCCACTCGCCCTGACTACCCCACTTGTGACTGGGAGCAGGATAAAGTATCACCTAGTTCTGATACCCGCTAAGGAATGTTGTAAGATGGACTATTTAACAACTCCTTTCATATCCCGAGGTGAACTGTGGGAGTAGCCTTCCATCTACCTCACTAGGCTGCCACTCCAGCTGTGTCACACTCTGGCTGGCCTCTGCCCCCCAGTTCCTGGGAGGTAAACTCTAAACCCTTGGAATTTCCTGAGGGATTGGAGTGTCTCTGTGATTCATGGCGGGGAGGAGTGGCATGGGGGGGCCTCAGACCACCATCTGACAGTTTGTGCTAATGAGAGGACTCAGGACTGGGGGCTGCCTGGCCAGAAAAACCAGCCATGGATTAGAGGGCTGTACTTAGAGCCCAGCCTCTGAGGAGGGAAGGGGGACGAGACACTGAGTCAGCCACATGGGTCCTGATTCAATCTACATGCCTACAAATGAAACCTCCGATGAAACTCTGGGCGTGAAGCTCAGGTGAGCGTCCCTGTTGGCAGTACTGTGTGTGCTGTCACACAGCAGCGTGCCAGGGGGTGAAAGCAGCCCTGGCAGCCCTGAGGACAATGGAAGCTTTGCACGCGGGACCCTCCCAGACCTCACGCTATGCGTCTCTCCCTTGGCTGGTTCCGCTTTGTATCCTTTTGCTATAATAAAACTATAACCAGAAGTATAGTACTTTCCTGAATTCTGTGAGATGTTCTAACAAATGATCAAACTGAGGGAGTCCACAAGGACCCCCAAATCTGTAACAAGTTGGTCAGAAGTGAGGTGTGGCCCTGGGGACGCCCCAACGTGCAGCTGGTGTCGGAAGGGAGGGCAGCATCGCGAGGACTGTGCCATCCCTACGAAGGCCGACCTAGCTCCGACACCAGCACAAACGCAGCTCACGTCCAAGGCTCTCCTGCCCTCTCCACTGTGGTTTCCAAGCCCTGGCTTGTCGGCTCAGCTGTGAGACCGACCCGGCTACTCCAGCCCACCTCACGACTCACAAACAACGTGATGAACAGTGCCTGGAATTACAGAGTCTCACCACCCCTGGAAAGTACGTGCAGAACTCCTCCACGTGTCCACACGTGACCACCATGAGCTCCTGTCACCAGCTCACCTCTACACATTCACCTTCTCTAAAATCATGACCCTTCATGGGAGCCGGGCCGGCCCATCCAGCTGGTCCTGGGACTTCCAGGGGCGGGCTCCGTCCCAGCCAGGGTCCCAAGGCCGAAGCTCACCTGACACTGCCCAGGGGGCTGCGCTTTTCCTGCTCCTGCCGCCGGGCTCGCAGCTGCTCCTCGGCTAGCGCCATCTCCTCTTCCATGGCAGAGGCTTCCTCTTTGGCCCGTCGACGGTTCTCCTACGGAGAGGAGAAAGGGATACCAGGGACCCCTGGGGATCAGCGGGTGAGCAGGCCTTGTCTGCACCCATCTCCCTGCTGCAAGCCAGGTGCTGTGTAGACCACACCAGCTCCCAGAGGCAGGGCCCCGCGGCTCCTGCCCCAGCAGCACAAGGCCAGGGCCTGCTTTTCTCATTGATTCAAGACAGACGTTGGACAATTCAATCCTACCCCTGTCAAGCCTCAGCACTCCACTCAATCCAGTAAGTACATATATTTCCTTATCAAGTCCACAATGCCAGGAAGTACAGAAAATAGAGAAGACATTACATCTGGCTAGAAAGCTCAGACATAAGGAAGATGTGTGCAGGCCCAGTGTGAGGAGGATATGCTAAGAAGGGGAGAAGCAAAAGCCCCACAACATTCCGCAACCCTAAATAATGGATCTAGGCAGTGGCCATTGATGGACGGACACTAAGACTGAGGAGATGGAGAGGAGATAGAGAATTTATAATGCAGGGATCAAGTGGACCCACGGGGTAAGCTCGGCATCATCCAAGGTGGGACCACCAGACCTCATGTGCCTCCTGACAGGGTCTAAAAGGCAGTTCCCAGCACCACATGCATTTGTGCATCCTTGCCCAACACTGCTGCACCTGACACTAATCAAGGCTTTAGATTAATCCCCAGTTCACAGAACGCACACGGGATCGAGGCACTCATTAACACCTGAGGAAGCAATCAGCCCAATACAGAACATGGAAAATTTTACGATGACCTGATTTCTCTAAGAAATCAATGCCATGAAAAGGGGCGGGGGCAGAACCTGTTTTAGAATAAAAGACAGTACACATAACAACAAATTTCAATATTTGAAATTTCAATGCTAATTCAAGCAAATCAATTATAAAAAGTTACGTCTAAGATAAAAGGTGAAACCTGAATAAGGGCTAGAGACTTAGGTAACATTAAGGATTAATTCTGTTGTGTGATAACAGCATGGAGATTACATTTTAATTTTTAAAAATCCTTTCAGAGATGCATACTCAAGCATTTATGGATGAAAAAAACAACGTCTGAGATATGCTTTAAAATATTCCAGGAAAAAGACAGATGTGTATGGAGGGGGGTGGGAATAAGTGCAACAGAATTGGCAGAATGTTGATAATTATGAAGGCTAGATGATGAATTCATGGTGGCTCTTTATACTGTTTTATCCACTTTTATGAATATTTGGGCTTTTCAGTAACTTTTTTTTATAAAAAGGCTTGGCAGACCAAGTAACTGGAGTGGGGGTGAGAAATCAGTCAGACAGCCTGGCTGGGTCACAGTCGTGATGTTTGAGAGAGAAATAAAATGGGAGGAGAGGTGTCAGGTCAGATGACGATGTGTCTTCAATACCAGGCTGAAGGGAAAATGGATCCCACAGGCAAACAAAAGCTCCACAAAAGGTATCGGATCCTTACCTGCCGAGACTTTCCTGCCTGTTTCACGCTGTAGAACATGGGGCCCAGCTCCGCCAACCACTCTCCATCCACAGCAGTCACACACTGCATGTACTCCTGCAGGCAGGGGTGCAAAGCAGTAGTCACAGAAGGGCCAAGCCTTCAGGCTGTCCCTCCCAGAGTGGCCCCATAGTTAGGAGCTATTTGGGAAAGACCCTAACCCCAAGCCCTGAGAAGCTAAAAAAGGCAGGAAAAAGCCCCAGACACTGGAATTTTAATCCTGTATCCCACCCAAATTATTCCATGATGAATACTCCCTAGTTAGTATCCAAGAGAAAAGGCCCAGCCCCTCAGAAAACCCTTCTCACGATGACACCAAAAGGGGTTGGTTGTCCCAGGCAGCAAATAGGAAACAATCCTGCTGGCACAGCTGAGACCATTGTACTGTAGAGGTTAATTCTGTTTAAGTTTCCTCAAACCTCCCCACAACACACTGAAAACCATCCTCAACTCCCCTCAAAGCAAGGCATGTGGTCTCAAGCCTCCCAAGCTAAAAGCTCGTCCCAGAAAGCAGTGAAGGAGCCTGGCCCAGCCAGGTGGGCCTGTGTCATGCAAGCCGCCTTAGAAAACTCACCTTGGTGGTCATGACCAATTCATGATACACTATGTAGTCTGGGGTGTAGCCCATTCCAAAGAGGGAGCTGGTGGGGTGCAAGTGGCAGGGCATCCCAGTCCGGATATTCACATACTCCCCTATTCCCTAGGGAAGACACACACCAGGCGGACACATCAGAAAAACACTGCTCATGTGTGCAGCTACCCCGCCCCTTCATATTGTCTTGACACAGGCTTGTGGGGGGAGCCCAGACGTGCAGAACTGTACAATGGGAAAGGAGGAACTTTGCCCTTGTACAAGAATCAGGCCAGGAAGGGGCCACAGCTCCAACGGGCTCACCTTGAGCTTAGCTGCCTGGTGGAAATAGGCAGCACAGATACACTTTCGGACGATGTCCCAGTCAGTGCCACACGAGGCCAGGCTCATCCGCTGCTGCACCATGATGTCCTTGAGCTGAGCCCGCACCTCCCGAACCTACAGCAGGACACAGGTAAGCAGGGATGGAGACCTCCCCTTCCCCTGCCTCCCACCCCTCACCCGACATCCTGCTCATCTGGGCCACTGCCCCCACCTTCCGCATGGCCTTGGCATGGATGAAATGATCATTACACCAGATGGTAGAGTAATTATTATTCTTCCACTGCAGGTAAACATTCAGGTAGGTCAAATGATCACTCTCAGGGACAGCAAACTTCTCCCGGATTTGGTCACTCTCCTCCTCTCGGCCCTAAGAAGGAAAAGGGGCCCTCTCAGCACGGGAGTCCAGGCCATGGAGAAGAGCCTGGAGGATCTCATACTATCACCTACCAACACACAAAACTCCAAGCACATCAATGAGTGCCTTAACAATACAGGAAATATAAAGTCGT